ACAGATGGCTCTGTGGGAGGAAGCAATACAAATTTGCTCAGGCTCAAAGACTAGATTGCAAGTGGCAAGTCAAATTTGGGATCCACCAGCCTTTCAGAGTAGCCTTCGGACCTGGCATGTTCTTCAATCTCCTCAGTAATTTAGTGGTACCCTTCAGTAATGCTGGAATTATAGTCAGCAATATAGCTTTTCTCAGTTTTAGTTATGGTTTTCACATGTTGAGCATTTGTGAACTTCTGTTTTGTGTAACACCTAGTTGACTTCAAGGCTCTGTGTGTCTCAGAAATAAAGTAATCTTTCAAATGACCTTGAATTCCCATGATGCATCAGTTCTCACTTCATGTCAGTATGGCTTTTTATAAAGCAGTTTGTATTGATGTACTGTGGTTTTGAACCATGTGGAGCAAAGGTCATTACTATAATAATACTCAAGGCAGATCTTGTCAAGATTGGTTGCTTTGCAGTAAAAGAGATACCCACGAATGTATCTATTAACAGCCTTTGTCTTTAACATGATATACAATACAGAAATGCTTGCAAGAATAGTTGTGATATTGAGAATATACTGAATGAGGCTTTTATTTTATTTGCATGCCACTTGTTTTTGTGTAATGCTATTACATGAAAAAAAAAATCCTTCTAATTGGGAATAAACAGGAGTTTAATACAGGAAGGGACCACCTGAGCCATTGTGTTTGCTTACCCAGGAAGAGACATATAGGTGACTACATCTACTCTAGGCATGGCAACATTATTTTTTTTTCCCGTTTTGTAACATAAATCTGTGATAAATGAGTAATTCACGAGTGAGGATCAGAACATACAGGAAAAGCTAGTGGAAAATGTGTACAAGTAGCAAATCACCATGGTAAATAGATGTGTCCCTTAGTAATTCTTTGAAAGGAAGGATAGGGTGTGATCAGCGCAGGATTATAATATCCAATATGCTTGTGGTGCCCATGATAATTGAGAATTTTGAGGAACCGGATAGGCAGCGGTCCCAAGGGAGAGGCTGCTCTGCCGGTGCTCATTAAAGCAGCTGCCTCTGTGCAGGAAGAGAGCTCAGCTGCTGGCTGTGCTCCCTAGTAAAACAGCCTGCTGCCAAAGGGGAGTTCTCCCCCTCTGCCCGTACCCGAGCATTAGCACACAGGTACTTCTCTTGCATGTGTGTATTCATGCACAACTTCCCAAATCCGTATATTGCCTAAACCAACTGACTTTAACCACACCCAGGGAATTTGCTGCAGGCTTTGAAAATGCCTGGATGTAAATGGGCTAAAATTGCTTCTGTTTCAATAACAATTACTTCAAACCAGGCAGGACTAGTGAATTTAAAGCTGCTGTGCCGAAAGTAACTCCGGGAAATGAGCAGGTAAATAAGTGTTTAGTACTGTATTCAAATGTATCTTGGCTAAGGAGCAATCTTACATAGCAGCAAAAATCAGTTTAAACTTTGACCGCTTTTCTTCCTTCTAAAGCAAGTGGCAGTTTTGTTTTCTTTTTTAACCTTGAATATATTTCACAATAATGCTGTGCATGGAATTAGGTATTTTGCATGCATTACTGGTGTTTGGCAGTGATCTTGCCTGTTGCAGGGAGGCACGAATTCCTCTGGTAAAATTGTAGCAACAAAGGAGCTGATGAAAAAAATTCCTGCTAACTTACATGTGGCCAAGATTTCACCCTTGATCTGTAGGCGGAATGCAAAAAATGTTGCCTCCAAAACCCCAGATGTGGTTATTGGTTACAGCACACTGTGTTCTCCTCCCTGGGCACACTGTCCCCTGTAACACATAGGATGTGTAGAGCTGGGGAGAACTTCCTCTAAACTCATGGAAGGTTGGGGTTGGTTGGTTTGTTTTGTTTTTTTTTCATATTGGAAAAATAAATTGTTTCAGAGCTTGATAATCAGCAAGAGTAGCTTAGAAATAGGAAGGAAATGGTTGCATCATTTGTGAAACATTTCAAAGTACAAAAAGAAGCCAACCACGTTAACTGCTTTGGAGTGAAGCCAAGAGTTTTTCAGTGCTTTCTAAAGGGGAAAAAAAAAGGTGAACACCCACCCCAAGATAGCCAGCAATCAAATGGTCAGGGAACATGTGTGGGCTGAAGCAGCCAGTCTTTGGCTTTGAACTGAGAAACACATCTGATGAACAGATTAGTGTGCCCCCACCTCCTTCACCCCAGAAGAACCCTCCATCAGACAATTCTCAGCTATTTAACTAGGAGTCAACATTTCGTTAACCACCAAGAAGCTAATCCTATGTGTAAAGAGTAACTTTACAGGACCCCGTTCACAGATTAAATTATTGTAACTCATTATCCAGACACAAACCACATGGACAGTTCTCAGCTGTCCTCTGAGTCCATCGTTGCTGATCTCTGAAGCCTAGTGATTTTTCTGTGTTCCGATTTTGTGCCCACTAAGGAATTCCATGAAAGTACAATATGAGCCGTAGCTGTTGATCTAGTCCTTGACTGACTATTAAAATTTCTTCTTAATTTGGCCATTTCTTTTGTAGAGCATCAGAGATGGAGCCAGGCTCCTTTAATTATGTATTGATCTGCTTTTTGGCTTTCTTTCCTGTGCTGCCAATGTGATCTTTAATGAATGAGCCTAAAGTGACTTCTGTTTCATTTTTCTGTGTGACAGAATTTCAGATGCCAGGTTAGTTTATTTGCTTTGACACTGTTATTTGCATCCTTTTTATCTTGACTTATAAAAAGCTTATAAAATATGCATGGTGGAGACAAAATAGACTCAGATGACAATTAGTGAATGAAAGTCAAGATTTATGCCTTATTCCCAAATCTGGAATGAGGATATTTGTAAGAGCGTTTGTAGCTCCAGGAAGAGGATTGTAGAGGACAGCTCTTTTCAGGCATGCTAAATATATATACACTGCACAGGGCAAGTCCATCTGTGTAAATAGTTAAGTTTTCCTTATGGCCTCCTTTGAAGACTGTGGCATAAAGTCCTCTTGGGTCTACCTTGCAGTCATTCTTTTTCATAGTGTGGAATAAATGTGATGATCTTTTTTTATGGACTGATTTGGTTTTAAGGGTAAGAAAGGCTGGATTGTTCTTTTAATTAACTTTCAGAACAGGCAAAGAAGGGTGGATGAAAGTTGCGTCTATTTTCTGGCTGGGTAAATAGTAGTAAGTGCCGTAGTAAGTCACTCCCCTATTTAGTGCTTAAGGGCAATACACAGAAATTCTTTCAATGATTCAATTTAACAGAAGATTTAAAGGCAAGAGAGTAATTTGAAAATTTATGGGAATGTGTTTAGGTTCATCTGCTTAGGTTAATGTTGCATTTTCCTGCAGTGAAGTGAAAAATTCAGAGACAAAGTAACCCATAACATTTTCCTTTAGACTTTAAATTTTGTTCTCTTCAAGGTTTAAGGCAGACTCCTCCCTTAATATAGTGAGTTGCGTTAAAGAAAACCATCCGGTGATGTCTTCAACCTGTATGATGCCTCCAAATAGGTGCATTTCTTCAGAAAATAGTTATTTTGATATGTAACTGACAACATACTAATGATTTAGGATGAATTGTCTTGTGTGTGTTTATTTTTCATGTTTATTGTAGCTTACATTATTTTGATAGCTTTGTATTTGGCTTGTTGCGCTCTGGTTTATACGTTGGGCCCTGTAGCAGACATACGAAACATAGGTGCTCAAAATGTCTTGGCTGGCAGCTGTCCTGAGTCCAGCACTGACCTGCCTGTGTCCCTGCTCCTGATCTGTCTACAGAGTGGGTAGCCAGCATCATATTTAGATTCTTGCCAACACAGGTTTGAAATCCTTCTGCTCCAGGGAAATTTGCCACCCTTAAGTAGCTCCAGAGTTGTGGTAAGGATGAAGGATCTTAGTTTGGATACTATGCTCTGTGAGCTAAATAATCTGTGGGGGTTTCCTGGAAAGATAATCTAGCCCAGTTCCTGTCATATAGCCAAAGGGAAACATGCTGAGTCTGTATGAAACAGGGTGGGGCTCTTTACAGAGAGAGAGTGCTGTTTCCACAAGAACTATATACCCATCCTGCTCCTAACATCACGTCTGTAAGTCAGAGTGTATTAGCAAGAAGCTTTGTGCATTTTAAGTAGACAGTTTATCTTACTATCAGTATAATTTTGGAATGAACGTTATCTTAAACACATGTATTTATTGATGGCTAGAGCAAAATGTTTCTGTTGCTGTTAAGATTTGTTGCTGGTCTCAGTGAAAATCCTTTCTTTCACTTGACCATGGTTGCAATAAAATTTCAAGTGATTCAGTGAAATTGCAGGCTCATGTTAGAGTTAGGATGTGGGTATATGATTCAGAACTGCCTTGCAATCGATTAAACAAATTGAGTTTTAAACCACCATAGTGAAGGATACAAATAGCTTTTTTGGCTTTGCTGTGTGACCAAAAGCAGCCTTCAGGAAGGATGTTTAAACTGAGGTGTAATAACAGCAAGTCTGCTGCTTGGTGCTAAGCAAAACTTCCATGTCAGCAGGAAATTCTGGAGCCAGTGAAGCTTCAATGTTTGTCATAGTTCTAATGCATGCTTGTTAAAACTATATATAATGCTGTCAGTCATACTAGATGAACAAACATGAATTGTCGTTGTAGATGTGGAAGGCAATAGTAAGGTGAGCTAAAAGGATATGTCTATGGGAATGCCTGTATGTGTGAAGCTATAAATAAAATACTACTACCTGTACTTTCCCGAGATGCATTTCCAATTATCTGTCTGCAGGGATATTAAAATGGAATATCAGTGATATGTGTATAAACAAAGCACTCTGATTTTTAGACGTAATGAAGACCCTAGCTGCACATTGGTGTGTTAGTTGCTTTTAAAATCTAAAATGAGCATCACTGATTTTGTTAACCTTGCTTTTCATAGTGCTAAGAATTAGCAATATATGTTAATATTATCTTTGCATGCTTTCCTCTTTCAACCAAGAATTATATCTTTGTATATAACGTTATGTTTTTATTCATTTTAGACAAGCTCTATATGGGACCAGGGCAACTGTACCATGATCTGCAGAACCTTTTACATGACTTGACCGTAATTGGTCAAATTAGTCAATTAATAGGCAGCCTTAAAGGAAACTATCAGGTAATAAATAAAGCTGGATTTATTTTTCAAATATGTTCCTGTTGTAAAGTACCATAATTGTCTCTCCCTAGGAGCTGTGTAAGGCATTTTTTAGTTCTCTCTGTAGACTGTAATAATTTTTACCTCTAGTAATTAATTCACTTTAAACTATTTAGCATTATGAGTAGATTATAGCGGTCTGTCTAATCTTGTTTTTCTTTTTTGTTTTTAAGTGTAAGTGGATACAAGTGTCTGCATTTGCTCAGTAGCTGATAAGCTTATATGGGAACACAATTACATTTTGATCTTATGAAAATGCATTCTTGCAGTTAGACAAGGTAATAGAAGGATGGTTATTTGGAGGGAGCTCTTGATGCCCATCTGAGCTCGTAATCCTGGCTATTGGGAGGAGCTGTTCTTAAAACTGAGTGCAAATCACAAAAATATGAAAAGGATTCTTAAGGGAACTTCGAAAGTAATTTGCTTTGGCTTTCTTCACATTCCTTTTATTTAGCTTCTATTCTGGCAAGTGGATGCAATAATTTAACAGTGAATTTCAAAATAAGTTATCCACAGTCTGAAGACTTAAAAATAAAAATATATGTATGTATGCTTTTTTGCCCTTTGTTTTACTTGCTTTATGTATGCTTAGGCACAATTTTTAACTCTTACCTGCCACCACAGGCTGTAAATATATGTGTGTGAATATGTATATGAAAGCTGAGTTTCTCTTGGGATATCTTGTCTTCAGAATCAAGGGCATTAAATAAAACAAAGTTTTGTGAAAATATGTACTGTGAAAGAAGTTTATGGAAACAGTATCTTTGGACAAATTTCACAAGTATCTGAAGGTAAACTTCAGCTGCATTTTTGGGAATATGTACAGCAGAGATACAATAAGATGTCACCCATTAAGATATACAGAACCTTTCTGGCTGTATTTCTAGTCAGAGCCTTACCCATTTTCCCATGGCAAGGAGGTTGGAACGTGATGATCGTAAGGTCCTTTCCAACCCTAATTATTCTATTAAGGTATACAAAACCTTTCTGCCTGTATTTCTAGTCAGAGCCAACTATGTTCTGAAAACTTAAAATTCATCAATGTTTCCAAGTAGAGATGTTTTATCGATAATTAGATATGAGATAATTAGAACAGTGTGGTTGAGGAATGAGGTCAGCTTCCTTATTTCTGAAAAAGACCTCAATTTTCACAAAATTCTGACTGGAAAATTAGTGTACTTTTGTGTGTGAATACCTGTTACTATTGATGCTTTAAGTGTCACCCAGGTGTGCTTTTGCCTTCTGTGACCAAACACTCTGCTTGCTTATTAACTCAGGATATTAGTTCAGCATCGTATTTAAACAGATTCCAGCTGCACAGGCAGCTTTCATGATGGCTCTGTAAACATTTTAGATCAAAGATTTGAACAAAAACATATTGGCAGTATGATTTGTAGATGTTTTCATGAGATATTCTTTAGAAACAGGATTTGTGGGTTTTGTACAACTCACTGAAATGAAGTAAAAGTGTTGTGTGTACATCTGATGCGACTTTACATAATCTGAAAAACATTTGGGAGTGTCATCTGTATATCATCAAACTGAGCAATGTGAAATCGAATCATCAGATCAGATATGTTGGAATTTTTTTTTACAGATATTTTTGAAATGTGTTTTCAAATATGGCTAAATTTTCCATGATTAAAATGTGGATTAAGTGAGGCCTAAGTGCCAGAAATTGTTATATGCAGACATCACCTTAGCCTGTTGGAACTAGGCCAGTAGGCTGGTATTGAATCTTAGCTGTTCTAATTTTTCAGAATTTAAACCAATCTGTAGCCCATGACTGGACCTCAGGTTTACAAAAACTGATTTTGAAAAAAGAAGATGAAATCAGAGCGGCAGATCGCTGTAGAATTCAGCTGCAACTCCCAGGAAAACAAGACAAGTCAGTAGTAATCTTGATTACAAAACTTTCTAAATGGGCTTATGTATTAGACATAGAAGTATCAGGGTGTATTTGGGAGTCTTTAGTTTTACCCCTTTTCTGTCTCCACAGTTAGCTTCTGACTTCTGCTGTCATGCCACAATGTTGGAAACTTGCATGTTCCAGGGCAGCATTGTAGTTTTTCTGTTCCTCAGCCCTGCATTCCAGGTGCAGGAAGAGAACAACTGTGACAGTGACATCTCACAGGCAACACCCACTGTTATATTCTTTCACCAAGGGAGTGTTCTTCTTGTACCATGTCATGTAAAGTGTAAGAAGATGGGTGTATAGCAAATCATAGCCTGAATGCTTATATCAGAGCTGTGTCTTTGCCGAAGTATTAGAAAATAATGAAGGTTCATCTTACTCAGTGTTTCTAGCCTTGACTGAATCTCATACTCAATGGGTTTACAGTGGCTTATTGTTTTGGGTTTTTTCTGTCTTGCAGGTCTGGGCGGCCCACTTTCTTTACAGCTGTGTTCAATACATTTACCCCTGCCATCAAACAGTCCTGGATCAGCAACTTACAAATGGCTAAACTGGCCCTTGGTAATTCTTAGTTACTTAAATTTCCTGTCAAGTTTAGGAAGCTCACAGTGTGCAGTGTAGGGTTTGTTTGTTTGGGGTTTATTTAATTTTATTTTTATTTTTTAGAAAAATTACTTTGAGAAAAATTTGTCTGCAGATAATAAAATTGCAATACAGTGAATAGTAGTGATTGTGTATCACTACAAAGTAATGATGTTATATGTAGGATGGGGGTTATGAAGGAATAGAATTTCTATAGTACTTTAATAATGTGGTAATCATTATTAGTTATTATATCTAAATTTAAAAGAATGAGATGCCCTATAGGACAGATAGGTGAGGAATTATTCTGTTATAAACTTATTTCTTCAGATCTTACGAACTTTACAAACTTGGAACTTCAGGTTCACATTTCTGAGTTTTACCTCAATGATTTTAGCTTGTAAAGCCAATGGGTTCATTTGGTTAGCTTTCTGAACGGGAAATAAACTCATGGGTGTAGTTCTAATATAATGCACTGCTTCTGTAGTTGGATATGTAGAACTTGAGTTTTTTTTGGGGGGGGGAGCTTTTCTATTTTAACATAAGTTTGTAGTCTTCACTAGAAGGATTATCACAAATAAACCTGGTCTAAATGGGAGCAGTAAAGAATGTGCTGTCCTGTGATGTTATTAGTTACCTGTGTTTGCACAGAGGGCATAAATTTCCAAAGATACTTGGGATTTTGAATGTCTGTGTTGAGAAAGATGAAGGCTATGCACTTTCTAGAAAGCAAAGTTCACCAGCACATCCTCAAAATACAGCGTGGTATGGTACTTCAATGGTATTTCAGTGAAGGCTGGCAAAATAACAAAAATAAGAAAGAATGGATGTCTACATCATTCCAGGAGGAGAATCCTTGTAGTTTTGAATAGTTATGATTAGTAGTTAGTAATGATGTCACGCAGGCAGAGAAATGCTATTTGCAAATCAGATTCCCTGAGGTTTTCTGTCCTATTTTAATAACCTGGTTGACAAGATCATTAAGAGAACACATTTTCCTAGTGAAAGGTTCTTTTTTTGCAGTATCAATATGTATCTGATCTACTATATTGAATTTTTGCTCATATTTTTATGCTGTCATTCATGCATATATGGCAGAAGAACAGCTTGATCAGTATTAACCAATCCTGACAGAATTCTTTTCTATTTCCGTAGAGAGGTGTTAGGTGAATGTTCAGTGTAAGCATTGTGGAATATTTGTTGTTTGTTGTTTCCATTGCAGCTGAGGATAACCTGTTAGGTTGGTTCTGTGTAGAAGATGATGGAAATCAAATCAAAAAGGAGAAACATCCTCTTCTTGTTAGACACATGCCAGTGATGATGGCCAAGCAACAGGAGTTTAAGGTGAACAGAATTTCTGTATGAGATTACCCTTGCTTTTTTTTTGTGTGATATAACTTCTAAAGAAAACCCTATTGTAAATACATCTATTTGTTCATATTTATTATTTCTGTTGAGTTACTACTTTGATGTAAAACCAGTTGCAATGGAAGGTCCAAGAGGGCTACAGGAATGCAAGATACTGCAATCTTTGAAGCATTGGGAAACATAGCGTTGACTTTCATATAGTACGTAATCTTTTTTCGGGTGTAAGCTCATCATTCAATGAAAGCAGAACTGCTGGGAGTTATGAATTGGTCTCAAAGTTTCCAAGTGCTTATTTGAGGCTCCAAACTGTCCTGCAGTTTACAAAGTGCAGGAATCTGTTGTCCATGATAGCTGTCCTGTACTCGTGTGACTGTGTTACAGTGTCTTCCTCAAATTTCTGATTTTCATTAGCACACTCAAATGATGCTGTAAATGGTCGCGGGGCGGGGGGGAGGCAGGACATGCTGAGAGGGTAAAAGAATGTCTCCTTCACAGGTTGACCACCCGAGAAGGAGAAAAAAAGAAGTGTAATTGCTAAACAAAGTATAAAGGTGGTGACCACACTGGGAACATAAGCCAGATCACTTTCGTGATCAATGATTCTATTGTATTACAAGTCATTACCATAAAGTACAATGAGACAAGAACCTTAGCCCAAGTCCCACACTTGAAAAATGCTAACACAGCAAATACTGGCTCTAAGTAAGGTGTGATATACTGAAACTGTGAGATCAAGAGAAATGGGGAGGAGAATCAAAAGAATGTAACTCCCATGGGTTAAGAACAGTCCAGTAACTAAGGTATAGCAGAAACCACCAATAGGTATTGCTACCACCAATAATAATAATAAGGGAAATAACAAGGGAAGAGAATAAGATACCACCCACCGAAACGAGCCCGACTGAGAGTGCCCTTTCAGGTAACTCCCAGTTACCTCCCCAGGCATGAAGTGCTGTGGTATGGAATACCTTTTTGGCCAGTTTGGGTCAGGTGTCCTGTCCCTGCTTCCTCCCGGCCTCCCCTCCTCCCTGGCAGAGCATGAGACTTGCAAAGTCCTTGGTCAGAGTAAAACATCATTGTTATCAGCTCTGTTCCCAGGCCAAAAGTCAAAACCACAGTGCTGCACCAGCTACTAAGAAGGAGAAAAATTGACTGCTACTGCTGAACCCAGGACATACAGAAATAGTCTTAATGGTTCATTTTTTAAGGTAATATGTCAATTTGAAGTCATATTGACCTGACTTTAATGCTGAAAATAAGTACAGCATATCCGGACCAACAGATGCAAGGGAATGGTGCTAGGTACTCTTTTCAACAATTCTTCATCAGGATTTCTTACTGACCATCAGTCAAGCTTGTGCAATAACACTAATGGTAGTAAAATTGTATATGGCTAGAATCCCAATGTTAAATTGACATCATTGTATGGATACTGCTTAGAGCAGTAAGTCTGCAGACCTCTTTGTTAGGACAGCCTACACAGGAGGGAAGTTCAGCTGGCAGCTTCACTTCCAGCATGAGTATACAGGCCTGGATATTGGGGGAAAATGATTTCTAGCTGCAAATGCACTTGAAACGTGTCCTAGTGTTAAATCAAACCATTCCTTTGATACTGGTTTTCAGAGCAGAACTGTTGTTTACAACAGCCAAAGTCTACTGAGAGTCTCTGGTCTCCCATACAACCATAGTTATTCTTCTCTTTTTGAACAGTCAGCTTTGAATACTTTCTAAAACCACCACTGGTGAAATAACCCAGCTAATTTATTTTTCTGCAGAAACTTAAAATGTTTATGTCTTCTTAGAGCCTATGTGTTTGTAAGTCCTGTAGCTCCATGCCAGGAGCCTTGAAGACCCAGGCTAAACTCCTGTAATCAGGTTACAACAGGATCTCCTTCTTTTGAAAGGAAAGGCATGTCTGTGGTCCCTACTGTTGGGTCATGGCCTTTGCTTTGATCACCTCAGGAGAATACAATGTGTGGCAGTATTTAGCTGAGCTTTGAGTCAACTTTACCAGTTTTACAGCTCCTTAAAATAATGTGGGTGTGAGCCCAGCTATAATGCCTGATTCTCCTAAATCCTCAATATTACTGAAAAAGATGATCTAAGTATTATTGGTGGTTTCCTTCAGCCTTAGCTATGGTTTGGGTGTTAGGCCACAGCTTGGGGTGGGAAGAGACACTTTTCTTGGCTTGTTACATATCTGCATGCTGCTCAGGCTGCTAGTATAAGGAGCCTGTTACAACTCCCATAAGAGCAAGTTTACACCCCAAGGCAAAGAGCTTCTCTCAAGATTGAAAGTTAAACTATGAGGGTTTAACTGTGGAAACACATCACTGGTTTTGACTAAGATGCAATGTAACACAGAGAAGCAACAAGCAGCCCAAGAAATATCCAGCACGCAGGCCGTCTTGTCTTTCACTAGTGATGTATTTAGCTGTCACAACCACTGTAAATCACCACTATGAGTAGATAGCTTCAGCATCTGTTAAATGAGGCATGCTACGACTGGCATGGATAGTGCTTTATTCTTTTTTCCATCTATTGGTTTCCATCTTTTATCCTTCTAGTGAATTGCACTTCTGAAAATTAAGTAAACTGGGAATTTAGAAACCTTAACTTAAACCTGCTCATTATGGTGAAGATGTCTAAGTTAATGCTAACCAAATTGTCTCTAGTACTGCAGTATAATCACCATGACATTGATGTCTAAGACAAGAACATTACTGTTAATTATAGAGAATTTTGTCTAAAAATAGGTGTCACACCTCATCCAAAACCTTTTTATTCTCTACACAGTTATGAATTGATAGTATATATTTTTAAAGTGCTTATGTAAGCTTTAGGGAGCTCTGCCATGGATATTGGGGAAAATAGAAATCTACGGCTGTTCAGAAAAATGCCTGTTTTCAGAACCTTGGTGCTTGAATGATTTTCAGAGTTGGGGTGGATTTAAATATACATCTTGAGTCTGGTGTTGCTTTCAGATTTTTCTTAAATGGCTTTCATAATAAGATTATGAGTATGGTTATTAATTTACTGACATGATGACATGAAGTTGGGAAGAGATTGGAGTAGTATGGTTGATGGTGTTAACATTCAAAATGAGTAACACACCTGGAGAAATACTTTGAGGAAAACCATAAAAAATAGAAGGGCTGATAGTCAGTAGGATGGACACACAAAGCATGCTCAGGCAGAAATAAAGAGCTTCACAAGTACAGACCGAGGAGGTGTTTGAGTAGAAGATCTATAAAACTAATTTTTCATAAGCCAGTAGGCTAAGGATTGGTTAAGAATGTAATATTTTTACAAAGAGAAAATAATCAATGTGATGTGTACAAGCTTCAGAAGAGATATTCATGATGTATTGCTGCTAACAGCTCTGCTAAAGTGAGAAAGTTCTGCACTCTCAAATATATGAAGCCAGTTTATCTGCCGGAGAGATGCCAGTTGGAAAAGGGATGATAAAAAAATTTAAAATAAAGAACTAAAAATAATTTTTCTTAAATTTTAAAATGTAATTAGTTGATAATAGTTGATAGTCCAGAAGGAGAGACTCGCACAATGTCAAGATATTTCAGCCTCATGTGTAAAAGGATACTGCAGAAGGGAGGTATGTGGTGGCAGAGATGAGAAGTAACAGACTAATGATCATGGCAAGGATGATATTAGGTTGGATTGGTTCTTTTGTGATTCTTTGATATCTTTAAATGCCGTAGTTAATTACAGACTAAATTGCGCAGAAACAGGCACATCTTCTTAATGTGGTGACTGCTCTCTTTTCCTTTGAAGATTGAATGTGCTGCTTATAACCCTGAACTATACCTCTCTGGAGAAACGGAGTCAGACTCCTGTGCCATGGAACATGGTTTTCTTTGGGTAAGTGTAATCTTAAAAGCTAAAAGGGGGCTGTCTCCTATTCCTCTGCTTTTTTTTTATTTTTTGTGACTCTCCACAACATATGGATCTGAAATAAATTTTGGGATTTTTTTTTTTCTGTTTTGTTTGTTTGAAGATGGACTTCTATAAAGGATACCTAGTAATTTTGTCCATGGGATCTCCCTGTTCTCTGTAGGGTGTTGTGTATGTGTGTGAGATTTATTAGTGTGGCACAGAATGAATCCCAAAGTGCTGAGCACATTCAGGAGTGAGTTATGTTCTGATTTACAATGAGGGCTGCTAAAACCCATATGAGCTCACACTGTCCTATTGTCTGTTTTCATGTTTTAAAAATGCTTTAGCTGTAAATAATCTGTTTAAGTCTGTACATAGGAAAAACATATTCTGGCATATTGTAACAGCCCCATATATGCAGATATTCCAGCAAAGTGAGGTAGCCAATACTTGAAAAAAAAACCCACCACAAAACAACAAAAAACCCTAATGATTTCAGTAGCTTTTCTTGTTACTAAAATACTGAAATTTTAAGGGAACCCTTGTGAAATAAACGTAGAATTTAGAAATAGTCTTTGTCAGTGGTCTTTTTCATGGTGATTCATGTAATTTCTTTTTGCTTTGTTATTTGTAAACAGTTATCACAACTATATGCCAATAAAATCTTTCTGCTGTCACAAAATGTTCTTTCTGCTTGCTGCATGTTCTCATTTCATATAAACGGAAAGAGTTGCTATATAAAAACAGTGTTGCTTGGGCAGACGTTTATTTGTTGGGCTTTATTGTGGTTTTTTTTTTGTTTGTTTTTTGTTTTTTTTTACTTTTCCCAGGTCTCTAAAATGTACAGATTTGTGGACATATTGATGATACTTAGTTCTGGATCAGGATGAAATTTAGGACTCTATTTCAGCAACTTTACAAAAGGGTTTATATTAATCCCTCTTTGTTGGGACAGAGCATTTATTTGTAGGCCTGTTACTGTGTAAAGGACAAGCCTCAGCTATATTATTTGTTTTAAGAGTCTGAGATGACTTGGAACACTGGTTATTAATATATTACCATTGCTTATTATAATTGCATCACATTATGTATATACATGAGTAAGACATCAGAATAGGCCATAATATTACTTCTTTCAAAAAAGAACTGGTTTTGTGACTACAGAGGGGAATTTTGTGTATATAATGTTTTGATGTCTCTTGTATTTGTGCTGAATTATTGACTTGTTTATGTCTTAATGCATGAAAAATCATATTCACGCATCTGAGATGTGTTCCTCAATTAACATTCCAGTCATTCCTTCTTATTAACGCTTATCTTCCTGAAGACAAGTATCAGTTGATCATCTTTTGTATTTTTATTTGTATATTCTTTATTTTATTTTTATTTCCTCTATCCAATTCAGATTGGCAGTTGTACTAATCAAATGGGCCAGATTGCAATAGTCTCATTTCAAAACTCCAGCCCCAAGGTTATTGAGTGCTTCAATGTGGAATCACGGATTCTCTGCATGGTCTACATACCAGAGGAGGAGAAACTGAAAGAGCAAAATAAGGCTCTAGACTTGGAAAATGTTCTTGCAAAAACTGCTAATGTGCCTACTATTTGCCTTGGCATGGAAGAAGGAAGGTAATTCTTATTTTTAGTGTATGGTGTATTATTTACTCATTAGATTCACTATTCTATAGCAAAATTCTGTGAGACTTCCAAAAACAGTTTTCTTTTCTAAAACTTTTTTCTTTTCTAAAAAAAAGTATCTGTGTGGTATCCCAGTGACCTCAATTTATCCTTTCCATCTAAATAAAGAAATGTATTTACATGATTTTAAAATATACTGTATAGTAGTTGAAATTAAAATGTGTATTTTTGAAAGGATTAATTCATCACACATCATGTTTGAGAAATATAAATACTACTTTTATAATGTTACAACATAATCTTTAGCTATTGGAAAATTTTCAGGATGACGAAGTGTTAATGAGGAACCCATTGACCTTCTACACTGTGATACTGTGCAGGATTTGTCATGCAAATAAATAATATCGCTGTTTACTATTGAACTGTTGACATGAAGCATTTTGCTCTGTTTGAACTGGTGACCTTACTGAGTCATCACTTTATTTGTAACGAAGAACAAAGCTAAATTTATAGGTCAGTAAGCAAACAGATCTTGTTATAGCTAGTGAGGGCAAAAAGTATGTAACTACATGTGATTTCTGAAGGTGTTGCTAGCCTGTATAAATGAAGGAGAACAAATTCTCCAAGGAATATGTTTCCAGAAACCCTAGCATCTAATTGTACAGATTATCTTTGTTTGTGAAGTGCAATTAATTCCATGTTTAACTATTGAATATTCCTAGCATACCCATGGTAATAATCTTTAGGAATGGTTGGGAATTCTAAGTATAATTGATGTCTGGTAGTAAGCTTTTCTTCTCTCTTCCCTAGTACTCCAGGTAATACTTAATCCATTTAGTATCTATTTTAGTATTTATTTTAGTATTTATTATATATAAGCCATTTAGTAGAAGTTTTATTTGGCTTTTTTTAAACTCATAGAAAGTTTTGAGTAGACTCATAATAAGGACTTTCAACAGAATTTTTATTATGTCTCATGTTTCTCTAGACAAGATAATATAAAAGTATTGTCATATGTCAATGTTGAGTAATCGCAAATTGTCTCCATAAGACATTTTGGAGAGTCAAGATACTCCTTTCCATACTCATCTTCCTATGAAGGGAAGGAAATTTTTTTTTTTCCCCACCAGTATTTTATTCTAAACTTCTTTTTTGCGTATACTGGTAAGAATTGAATAAAACATCATTTCACAGGTTTATTTCTTCTTGCTTCTTTTTAATAGTATTTCTATTTACAAAAGTTGCCAAGGCTCAAAGAAAATTCGACTCCAGCACTTCTTCACTCCTGAGAAGTCAACTGTTATGAGCTTAACATATATGTCTCAATACTTGTTTGCTGGCTTGGTAAATGGAAACATTTCAATCTACACAAAAGCAGAAGGTAATGTAGTGATATCATTTGATAGCATCCTGAGGAACTCACATGTCTCTGTATTTTGGCAGAAGTGGTTTCCCACTCATGTTTTCCAAAAATTCTCTGTAAAACTACTGTATTAAGGTTACTGTACATGTTAGAACTTCTGAAAAGACTTTTTCTCTTGTTTTGAAGGACAGTAGAAAGTTTGATATTCTTCCTACTTTTACCATATGATACATGTGAAAACTGGTGTGCATTCCTTAGCTTAAAGCCTAAGATCTTCAGTGTTACAACAGTCCAGAAATTTGTGATAAGAGGCACTATACTGTATTTTACACAGCACAATGCTAATTCCACTTGACTACTCTGGATCAGTGTAAATGAAAGACAAAAGTTTCCTGTTAGTGGAGATTCCTGTATATCTCATTTGAATTGACAACTCCATTTTTACTGTTCAGATGGAAGTCTTTTCTGTGTGCGTGGCTCATGCCACTTACAGTAGAAGTCCTTTTCCGTTAACAACACAGTTGTTGTTGTTGTTATTTAGTATTATTTTGCATCTAGCTAAGTAATTGGCTAAAATAATTTGAGTAAAGGAGAATCACAGAATATTTCTGTACCAGAACTGTATTTTCCAGAGCTTGTTGGGTGCTGTCTGTGTACTTCCAGTGTATCTCACTAACTTTCCTGCAGTAACAAATACATGTATAGTTAGCTCAAAATCAGCAAGGCTTTACTCAAAGTTTTAAACCTTAGTATTTAAGATGTTAGGACAGAGACACCTAACCTTGTAAAGTACAGAGCCAGCAGAGATCTGGTGTACCTTATTAGCATGAGCTGCATAACAATGGTTGTCATACTTTTGTAATGAAGTGGGCCCTGTAACAGTGCAGTTGTATTTGAGTGGCACAATACCAGTTCCTTTTAATTTATTTATTCTTACCACTGTATAGTAACTGTTTCTTTGTTTTGGAGGCACAGAGTGAGGCCTTGATCCTACTCTTGTAACATCATTTTTGATGTTTCAGTTTTTGTGCCTGGATAGGGTAGTAAAGTGAATCTGTCATCCTGTCTGAAAGGGATTGGTATATTTAAGCTGTTTGAAGACTGTAATTGCTGTCACTCAACTTCTTCCAGAAAAGACCACTTTAAAACCACAAGCGGCATCCTTGGCAGTATAGGTAAGAAAGGATGCATGGGTTGCATATCTATGGAGGATGTTAAGCATGGGGCATAGCTGTTAACCAGACTGAATTATGTTATGCGCTGGACTTTTGTGCAGCTAGGTATTCAGAGACTGCAGCAGGCTCTATATCAGGATTGCTGAAGCTCTGAGATGGGAAATAAACATTCATGTTTTTCTGACTCATCTTGTAGTGCCTTTCCTTACAGTTGGGTCTGTCTGTGTTATTTAAGTTCTACATGCTTCATGAAAGTTGTGCACATCAGCTGTTCCTGTGTTAACGCTGATATTCCTTAGAGGTGGCTGTGGTGGTCATGTGAGACAGTGAGCCCTGGAGGGCTGTTTTTATGAGCACTGACCTATTTTACCCAACAAAGGAATCCAAGCGGAGAAACAGGAGGAAGGGGGAATGCAGCCTCCAGAGAGCTTTGTGCAATTTGTGAGGGTCACCTTCTGTTCTACAGAGGAGTTACTTTCCAGCCATGGCCTTCAACTTGGGCTTTGGACTCTCAGCATAAAGGAAATTGAAGGATGACTTAGAAGTCAATGTGAAATATGGTCACTGTGTTACAAGGCTTCTTTATTTGAAGCCTGAGAAGTATAAATGCTATAGGATGCATGGGTAAAATGGTTGTGCAGCCTGTGTGGGCCTGCGTGTATGAAAAAGGATAATCTTTCTTCTAGGATGAAAGTCCACCTTGCAGTCTCTAATAGAGTTGTGGTCCTTGTGTCTTCCTCTCTGGGCAGAAAGTGTAGTGGGTCAATGATGCCTTCATGTATGTAGCCAAAGACCCATGACTTCTGTCATTCAGGTTCAGTACCCAAATAGCTCTAATTCCTCCTGTTTTCAGATGGCTCAATGCATGTGAATATCTGGCTTGTTTGCAAACAGCAGGCACTTTCTTCTGACTTTCTTCACAAGAGAACTGTCAGATCAGCAGCCACTAGTGTGCTGACTGCAGTAAGTCTTGACTTGAAGTAATTTAAAATGGAAACTAGGAAGTATGTCTAGTAAACTGAGGAACACATGCTGTATTAGTGGGGGAGTTGAAGGTGCACAGTTAGATTTCCTCTTACCAGTTAAAAAGTACTTCAGCCTGAATATATATTTGAATATAAATTAAAGTCCTGTGAAAATTTTGCAGAAAGACTAGGATGTAGGTCAGCCAATATATTAATCCTAAAAATAGGAACCCTAATAATTATGCTCAATAATCTTTAACTTTATGTGGGCAAGAAGACTAGTTTAAGGCATGGTGAAACAGCTAATGCATTAAATGTTGTTATATACAACAGGAGTGATGGCGATGCTGGTTGTAAAGTTTCTGACTTAAACTTGTTTACATTGATATTACTTGTTTACATTGCTATTAACTCTTACACAGTTACCAGTCTGAAATATTGTGCATTTAATGTTTGCCTCAGGCTAATTATTAGGAATATTTCCAGGCAAAGCACTTTTAAAAGATGTTAAGGAAAAAGTAATTGTACTGTTTTTGTTTGAAAAACATAACAAAACCCCTTTGTGATGATAGCAGACAGCCCAGCAGATGTGTTTTCTGAGTGATGTAATAGCAAAAAAGGTCAGTGCTTGTTTGACTTCCATTCACAACAGTATCTTAGGAAAGGGAAACCACAATCTTTATATAATATAGGTGTATTGTTCCTGATATTCTGTAGTCAGTTCCAGCTGCTTCCTTCCTTCTGTATGCTGATAGAAGAGCTGCTTCCTTTCCATGAAGTCTTGTAAAGAGTATGGAGAGGAACAGGAAAAAGAAAATAAAAACTCAGAATGATTGTGGCAAAAATTAAAATGTCGGTAACTTCAGAAAGAGTTTAATTAAGATCAGAGAACAGATGCACAAAAAAGACGTTGCTTTGATTGCAATAGCTATCCTTTCAGCACGCCTTTGGCACGAGAAGCCTTTCACTCGTGTGTAGAGCACCCACAGCAAGTCCTTGCAGATTCACCCCCAGAATTAACTTCACAGTGCTTCGTGTGCTCAGTGATCCTTCCTCTTAGCTCTGCACTGGTGAAGCTGCACTTGGGGTGTTGAGTCCCATTTTGGGGCTTCTCAGTGTTAAGAGACATGGATATACTGGAGAGAGTCTAGCACAGCGCTGTTCCAACAATGAAGGGTATGGAGGACTCTCCAGTAATGACAAGCTGAGAAAGCTGGGGCTGTTCAGCATAGAGAAGAGAAAGATCAGAGGAATCTTGTCGGTGATCGTAAATATCTGAAAGGAGGGTGGAAAGAGGATGGAGCTAGGATGTCTTCAGTGATGTCTAGTAACAGGACCAGAAACAATGGGCACAATCTGAAACACAGGAGGTTCATTTTGAACATCTGGAAACATTTTGTCACTGCGCAGGTGACCAAACACAGGAGCAGGTTTCCTTGAGAGGCTCTGTCTCCATCAGAGCATTAATAAAAAAGGAAAAGGACCAAAACTGAAAGGAAGTTAAGTAGTAAGGGGGAAACAGTTACAACAGTGAAGGGGTAGTAGGTCAGTTCAGTAGCAAGATACCTCAATCCATTTGGCAAGACAATTGTGTACTTTGACCAATGTGGAAAAGAAGGAATATGTGGAATGTAATACCACATATACTGATACCAATCTTCAGAGCTTGGGTGGATCCATGCACTTTTCCAGCATGTCTGAAGAGTGTGGTTCTGGCACATGATCTACCACTTAAAGTAGACAAGGTGAGAGCTATTGCTGTGAAAAGTAGGGAATGGCGTTAGGGAGAGGACTACAGCAGTGATATTGAAAAAGAAATAAATACTGTTGTCTTGACTGTGTAATCACTGTTAGCAGTATCATCTAATACTTGTTACCAGAAGTATGTTGACAATTCTGTTGGTTTTATTTGTGTTTCTCATGCTGGAACATCCAGCACCACCCCTCTTTACAATTTTAGGTAGAGCTCTGTCAGCTGTTTAACATGAAGACGTTTTGCATATGTAGGAAAGAATTACTCTACGCATGTGTAGCACAGGAATTCCTGGTTACACCTTGTTTAGAAGAGCAGACCCAAGTGTCTAGTCTTACTTCCAAATGTGCTAAACTTTCTACTTCTGTAGCTACCATCTTACTCCTGAACAGTGCTGAGTTATGTGCCATGTGATGGAAAAAATGTTTGTGCTCCACTGCACAAATTATCCAACAACCACTGTTCCCAGGGCTGTATTGGCAGCTCTGTTGAAAGCATCAATAGCACTGCTAAGCAAGAGAGGGAACTACCAACAAAAAAAGCATGTTTGTTTCAGCTCAATTGAAACCGCAAAGAAAAAACTACTGCAAACTTTAAAAAAATTTTGACAGATAAACTGTATTTTATTCGATTATCAGACTTCAGAGCACCATCAAATATTTAGAATACTAAATATTAATTAAAAATTCTAAATAATGGTAAGCTCTTAAATAAATTATTGTAAAATAATATTTCCCTTAAGTTTTATGGAAGCAAACCACAGAAAGATAAATAGTCAACATTCTGTCCCATAAAATGAGCAAATGAGCATTGGTTAAAACTTTTGCTATCTGTTTAAATGTAAATGAAGGATAACTGATTTTCTAAAATTCATAAAAATCGCAAGACTAATAACAAAATGCACTAATGGAAATAATGTCCTTATTCTTTAAAGGCGTAGAAATATTTTATGAGCATAAGGTACTTTACTTTGATGTCCAATACAGGCATTGCAAGATACTATTCAACACTGGAGTATAAACTATGGCACGTAACTATTGGAGAGCTAGAGCTTGCAAAGGATATCACAAATGGTGGCATAACACAGATCTGTTAGCGCATTGACAGAACAGTGTTAAAAACTGTGTTCTCATGTTTTAAGTATTTATCTAAAAACCACATATCAGAAGTTATGATATCTTATTTCTAGAAGCCCCTAGAATTGTTTTTGTATTTGACCCTGTTCTCAGATTTTGGAGATGCCTGTCATTCCTGGAAATAGCTGTACCTACAATTCATATAGATGCCTGTATTCTGTTACATTCATGTTATAGAAGTTGCCTGAGATTGCCATGTCCTGTGTACTATGTGTTTGGTGTATCTGTAGTAAGAGTCCTTACCTGCTTTGACATGGTCAGGTTAAGATCTCGGTCAACTAAAACTTGCAAGTAATTTTTATGTGTTGCTATTACTTGTATGAGCTTTCCTAACAAAGTAGAAGGAAAACCCCTATCTCTTCTCCCACTGTTTCCTTCCTGTTTCCACCAGTGTCAGGCTTCAATCTTGTAATTTTCAGGGTGCAGATTACTGATTTTTTTCCACATACAGACTAGCCTCTGGTTATAGGATATATGTGCCACATATTGCATCTCATTCAGTATCTATATGCTTAGAAGACTTTATTGTCTATGGCTTTTTAGCATTCTAGAAACAATGATGACCATAAAACCTGTGCTTATTTACAGAACGTAAGGCATCAGTTGCACAGAATTTAAGACAAGCCACACTTCTGTGGGCTATCCTGTAGGTATTCTCCAGTCAGGTCTCCAGGGGCCACATTATATACATCTCCATTGCTTATTTTTCTTTTATTCAATTCCTTCTTTTCAAAAAATACTTTGCTTGGCTCCTTGCACTGGCTTTGTCCTATTGCATGCCTTGAGATTTTGTTGGCAAAAGTTTTAGCTGCTCTTCTTGCTTCTTTTCTTTTTTCTTAAATCTGTGACTAACCAAAGATTTATAACATCAAACAAAGCTGTCCCATATCTTTTGCAAGTGCTGCACCTAATTTTAAACACATATATAGTGTCAGTTGTTGAGCCTGCTTGCATATCTTGAACCTCCAGGTGTTTGCACAAGTAGAGTAGAGATAATACTTCTTTTCACTTAGATTTTAGAAGCAATGAACTTTGTATCAGACATATAACATGAAATGGCCAACATCGAACATGAAGTCTGTGCAGGCAGGTATTGAATGGGGTCTGCAGAGAGTGGAAGAGAGAGATGGAAGAGTATTATGTTTTCTTAAAGGTGTGGTTTATATAGTCTTGGATCAACTTGTGAACTAGACACATACTTGCTAAGCAGTTTTGGTGGTGAGTGATAAAATTCTTGGTCAGCAACATGAAGTTACGATCTTGCTTTTAGTCAGCAGCTGTGGTTAAAGTGTTCACTGAAGTATGTTGGATTATCAGGCTTAATCCCCTGCCTTGCTTGAGAGGATTTGTACTTGTGCTTCCCAATCTCAAGAGATTTCCCTGGCTGCCACAAAATAGGAGAGAGATGCACAGTGCTTAATTTCTCCTCCTGGTGCCATTCTACTTTGTATACTTAATTAAGCTTTCACTGAGGCAGGGACCAGAATACAGCTGACCCATCATTAAATACTGCCCTAATTACCAGACTAGAGAGTTCTCCCCCTGTCTATCCTGGCTTCCCCCCCCCCCCCCCCCTCATTTGTCTCAGATGCTGTCTGGTCTGGAAGACAGCGACATTTGCAGGAAGAAATAAAAAAGTATTACAGAATAATTTTATCACATGGCTAGGGTGTCTGGGTATCTTTGTATTTTTCCAGAGCTGATATATCAAGTGGGATTGCAGTTTCTCCACATGAAGTCATGGTGACATGAAAGACAGATCTCTATCTCACCCTTTTCATATGTCCAATCCCACTGAACTCTGAAAGCTAATTTAAGTGCTCTGCTAACAGCACCAATGGAAAATGGATTTGTGTGAAATGAGTTTTGATATGTGTATTTGTTGAATCAAATATTCATAACACTGATAGCATTCATAACACTGGTGATATTGAACTCATCTTCTTACCTTGCAGTGTTGTTTTAGAACTTTTATTTTGCAGTCAACATTCACCTGGCACCATTACTAATTTTCCTTTTCACACAAAATTATTACATATGTTAGATAATACTTTTAAATAAGACTTGATCAACATTAACAGCCTAATGCTCAGCCATCTGAGGAGCTGCTTGGAAATTAATGGCACAAAGATCCAGATTTAAAAAATAAAAATAAAAAAATTAGGTGCTCAAAATTAAATTTAAATAAAATTTAAGTCTGAGTCCACAGTTGGGATCCTGAGAATCCTTATTCACCTGTCACTTTGGTATCAACTGTATCTTATAGATTAATGTATAGCTTGAAGGTATTTAAGAGAGCTGTTGAGTTCCATTAATGTGTTGGGTTTTTTTTTGTTCTGTACATTAATGTGGTGTTCAGTGTGAAAATACAACTTTATCTTTCAGAAGAATCTTTATCCTTCAGAAGATACAATAAGAATGTACTAGAGTTATGCTGGGTTTATCCTAAAAAGGAAACGAGGGTGCTATGTACTGGTTGCATTTACAACTTCTGCAGTCATCCTGACTTTGTTAAGTTATGCTACACACATGCACACAGCTCTGCTCTCTGAAGGCTTTGCACTGAACTGCCTACAGTGGTTACAGCATTCGTAGGGTATGGGCAGCTTCCACTTGAGGATTTGAGGATAATGTGGTTGCTAGCAAATGAAAACTTTTCAGAAGTTTCTTTATTACTAATGGTACATATGAGTCATGAAGAACACAGACTGACTTTGAGATTGCTGGGAGAGTTTCAGGCTAATAACTGGAAGCACTCTTCTTACTTGCAAAGTAAAATCATGAAAATTATTTAGATAGCCTGAAACTCAATGTCATTTTTACAAAGATGCTTAAAGAAGAGCCACATCCTGAGAATGACTAAGTGAAGGATGTATCATGCAGATGGCAGAAGCAATGAGAAGTGCTCCAGAACTGAGGCTTCTTACGTTTGTTTCTGCTGTTATTGTGAAGCAGGAAATTTCATACCCCTTTGCCTAAGCAAATAATAAAAGATACAGTTGTTACCGGGGGGGGGGGGGGATAAAAAAACCCTTGTACTTCAGTGCCTGACTAAAGATGTGTTTATGTTGGTATCGTCAATCAAAATGTAAGCAGTTAATGACTTGAAACCAGTGTTGATGGAAAATTTCTTTAGCTTATGCGGGTAGAAGGCTTTAAAGAGAGGATATAAGGTCTTTTAACATATTTATCTCGATTTAAAAAAGAGATACTTCAACAGATTTTGATATTACTAAAGTATAGTGGATAGAAATGCAGCCTTTGAGACCTTATGTCAGTGAGTGCTTACAATAGAAATAAACTAAAAGTATTAAAATTATTATTCACATATTTAGTCTGTCAATCTGTGTCTATAAAAGACATAGCTGCAACTATGTCAAGAAGCCTGTGTTGCTAGCTCCTAAATTTTGGAGAGAAATAACCTGCTAATCCTTGCTCAAAGAAATGTCAAGTGAGAGTGACCAGAGCAGTAAGACATGGTGTGCAGGTTTTATCAGGTCTCTGAATAATTGATTGCACCACATACTCATGCATAATTTAATTTGGATCTGCCAAATACACTCCACAGAAAACAGTGTGAGCTATAGCGAGGGTGGGGGGCTGGGGGGAGATGGCAGGAAAAGCAAAGATATGGTGCAAAATTAAGTTTTAATCTAGCAGGAGGAAATTCATTCCATGTACTTTTAGAGAGTCCTCTGAGCTCGTTAGAGCCTACAGCACAAATCTTGCTGACTACTTTTCACATGAAAGATGATTCTGTCCTAGTTAGAAACTTGAAATAGGTTGGTTGTGAACTCCTTCTGAGTGGGGGGAAATCATATCAACCATGGCTTTCCAGCTGTATTTTCTCTGGAAAGGAAAACAGAACAGCAATGTGGATTTCTTGTTTATCAATTAATCCAGATAAAATCTGTTAAGAAACAAATACATGAGTGTTTGGCTTTGTTTCTTCCCTTTAATGTTGTATTACCCGTACATACTTGCCATGGAAGCTAAAATTAAACACACATAAAGAGCAGTGTAGCTTGAAGTGGCAGCTTGCAGAGGTTTGAGCAGTAGGTAGGTTTGCAGAGGTAGTGTTTTCAAAACTGTTTTAAAACAAAGATTACCATTTTGTTGTGAATAACCTTTGTTCTTCTTTTTTATTGAAGATGGGACTTGGAACGCGGAACCTCAGAAGATAGTTAAACTGGGGGTTCTACCTGTTAGAAGTCTGCTTGTGATGGAGGAGACCATTTGGGCTGCATGTGGTGGGCAAATTTTTATAATCAGCACTGTGACACATTCCATAGAGGTAAACGCTTTTAAAATCATTGTTCATATACTGTGCTATTAAGTGTAAGTGGTATATTTTAAATGTTAAAATCTATTTAAGAAGCTTTACAATTCACAAAGCTTTTAATGGAAAATGTTTTCAGTTCTGTTAAATGCCACTCTCCCCAGTTTGAAATTCTGCCATAGTGCTCTCTGCTGATGCCTCATTAGACCTAGGTTTGCTTCTGTTTTCCCCCAGGTTTCCATAAGGTGCTTAGAACTTGCAGAGTATCTGGGGCAAGAGGTGAGCTTAAAATGAGTTCTGAGTAAAGGCAGCAAAGAAGTGGGTGGCTGTAGTAATTCCTGTTAATTCCAGAAGAAGGTTTAATTAAGAGACAGCGTCTACATAGTTAGATGTTACTTGTACCTTGCGATGATTTCACAGTATATTTCTTCAGAGTTTTGCATTTCAGTAGGCTACAAAAATTTGCTTTATATAAGAACATTATCCCAATGAATAATCATTAAAATGTCAGCTTTTCTGGAAGGAGAGGAGTGTTAAGGATACAGGCTCATATTTGTCACCACATTTTCCAGCAAGTGTTAAGCCCTCATTTCTGTCAAAACTGCAGCCTCCACCAAAAGAGTGTCGTAGTGGTCTAACGTTTAGAGTTTACGAAACATTAGAAGTTAAATCTCTCTTCAACCTACAGTACAGTTACACTGAGTTGCATCATGTTTACAGCCATGAAGCTCTTTCAAATGGGAGTTGTGATGAGCTCACAGCCTCCTTCTTTGTGTGCTTTGTCGCTGCTTTTTTGTTTCATTGATGATTGCGTTTTCTCCCAACAATTGTCTATTTGGTACAATTGATTCTGTGAGTCATTGTCATGGGTTTGCAGGGAAATAGCTAACATCCTAATTCCTCTGTCTGTATCTGTACTTTCTGAGAGATTTGTTTCATCAAGCAGATGCTCCGAACATTTATTTTCCTACTTTGTTTTTCTTTAAGGCTTGTTTTGTTGATAATTTGAATGGTATGATGAGGGAAAGATTTCTGAAAGTGATGTGAGTAGGTGCTTGAAACAGAATTTTATTAGCTTTGTTGGGGGGGCAGGGTAGCTGCTGGGACACCTGGTTACTGTCCTACAGACTTGGATGATGAATCTCTGATTCTTACTAAGAAATACATAGTGACAGTAGGAGATTGCAGCCAGATTGTTCCTGTGTGAGGTGGTTACATACAGCTAGAGCTGTGTAAATAAGTTTGGCAATTCTGGCCTAATCCTATCACAAAGCTCTTCCTAGATCTGGTGGTAAGGCTGCAGATTGGGCTGGGCTGTTTTAGCACAGGTTTTCTTTTTTTTTTTCCTTCTCTCTCATTTTATTTTTTATTTTTTTTTTAGACCGGCTGAGGGTAATCTTTATTCCATAGCAGATTTGGAATCCTATAAATTAGGTTTGGATGTTACTCACTTTTCCTGGTTTTTATCTTCTCTGATATGGATAAGGCTCTCAATTCACTTGTTTTAATGATATGTTACTGTAAGAGAATGTTGTAGGAAATGTCTTTTATTGGCACAGTGCCTCAAACTGGCACAATGCCTCAATCCCCTTGCCAAGGGACATGGGAGAAACACATCAATTGCTGTTATATCTTCACTCTCCCTGTGAAGAACAAATTAGTCCTTAGTTTTGTACCTAGATCCGACAGTTGTATTGCTGTTTGGTACTGACTTTGATCCAATAGTGGTCTCTGTGCCTGTAGACCCTTATGCTCTGCAAAGGCTGTATGAGTTTTTTTAAAAACAACAGATAATGCCAGAGTATTCAACAGAATAAAGTCACCAACTGAATGGCATTCCATCCTGGTTTGTTTGGTCTTGCTTTTAAAACTTGGCCAACTATACATGAGTTCCTCTGAAATGTTCAGTAGGAGAAACAAAACAAATGAAAATCCCAATAACATAAGTGTATGGTGCCTGAGTACTGTAACTTCTTTAAAGAAGTCATTTGTTTTACCTTGTGGACAGTGGTACCATTATGCATCTCTTGTGAAGCTTGAGAAATCACGTTTCAGTTCTTGGCGCAGTCAAGCACCCCCTCAGAAGAAATACTCCAGCTATGCCTGGTGCTGCTGAAACAATAGTGAGCTTTATAAAGTAGTGGGGCTGTGCTGCTGGGCAGGCCGACTGTGGCATCCAGAATATCTTTTGCAGCTCTCCGGTTGCTACAGAGTTTGAAAGAGGCAGCCTGAGGGAGAAAAAGCTGGTCTCTGACTAGAGAGGAATGTAGGTATAAAAACTAGAAGAGAAAGGAAAAATGAAGTTCAATTTACTTGTTTTTTAAATTTTCTTTTAACAAAGGGACTAACATTTTTTTCCCTTTGTATTTCTTGTTATGAGTAGAAAACAAATGAAGAAAAAGGCCAGATACTGGTTTTCACATTGACACATAATTAAAATATGTCGAAGTTACCCTTCATACAAAAACTTGTGCTTTTGTAAAAGAACATACAAGTTTGCGGTATCTTCCTGCTCCATATTGGAAGTCCTTTTGAATGAGAAGAATAGTTCTTTTTACATGCTTCTTGTGGTGTTGACAGTTTTACTTTAAATGTGTCTATGTGTTTCAGCAGACAGCTCTTGTCATGGCTTAAACTCAGCCACGCAGTCTCTCTCTCACTCTCCCCCTTCCTCCCACCAGCTCCCGGAGGGATCGGGAGAATTGAAAGAATGTAACTCCCACGGGCTAGATAAGAGCAGTTCAGTAACTAAGGTATCACACAAACCACTGCTGCTACCACCAATAATAATGATAAGGGAAATAACAAGGCAAGAGAATACAACCACTTACCACATGCTGACCAATACCCAGCCCAACCCAAGCAGTGATCTAACCCTTCTGGGTAACTGCCCCCAGTTTATATACTGATCATGACTTGCTGTGGTATGGCTAGTTTGGGTCAGGTGTCCTGTGTCTGCTTCCTCCCAGCTTCCCCTCCTCCCTGGCAGAGCCTGAGACTCAGAAAGTCCTTGGTCAGACTAAACATTACTTAGAAACACCTACAAACATCGGTGTTATCAGCTCTGTTCCCAGGCCAAAAGTCAAAAACACAGCACTGCACCAGCTATGAAGAAGAAGAAAAATGACTGCTACTGCTGAACCCAGGACAGCTGTACAACGGCAGGACAGACTAAGTGGGAGTATAATGACTTGACTGATAAATTGGAATGTGACAAAAATGCATGTAGAAGTTGTTTACAGTGGCACCAGCAGAATTGCCAGCTGTGGTCAGAGAGCTCCAGAGAAAATTCATTTCTTAGGATCCGCTTTGTTTTTCTTATAATTTCAAACAGTGCAAGTTGCTGGTCAGGTTCACTTCAGTGGCCTGGGATCTGTCCCTGAGAAGTTTTCAAAAGTCAGTTGGTCACCTTTGTAGGGATGTGTGAGTCTGCAAACAGAACTTAGTCCTTAAAAACCTTTTTTTTTCAACAAAAAAGGATTTTGCATCATGAAAGTATCAGGAAATTTAGTCAAAAGAGCTGTTACTGATTTTGAAAGATGTTATTCACGGGTGAGTTCTTCTGTTGAATAAATTGTATGATTTTCAAATTGTGTATATGATTTGGTAAAGAATGAGGAAAACAGTGAATATAAATGTGCCTGCCAGATGTGCTTACCTTGCATTCCACAGTGGTGTTATACAGAGAGTCAAGAAGTAATATAGTAACACTCGGAATTTGAACCGCTTCCTAATAGCTGAAGAGAAACTTTTCTGTTCATTTACTAAAACCTGAACATATGCAGAAGTGTTAACAGATGAAAAGAAAAAAAAAAAAAATCCTCTTAGTTTTAAGCAGCCACTTTCTCAGTGGAAAGCACTACTTTATGGAGTAATAAGGCATGAAAAGAATATTAAGTGCCTACTAAGTATAATATCAAAAGTTACACTTTGTGAAAGATTAAAGTTCTCTTATTTATCTATGATCTTAGCCTGGTTGTTTAATTCAGCTGGAGAACTTGAACAGTGTATCTATAACCCTAATATACTCAAAATATAGCTGCCTTAGGCTAAGAGCTTATCCCGAGCAACATGTAATTTAGATTTTGATGCAAAATGACTAAATGTAACTCTAAATTGCAATGTATAGAAAATTTAGGTGTACTTTATGTAGTATGAATATTGGAGCAGATATTTACTTTCATATCGCTTAGAAAGAGATTTCTGTCCAAGGAACAGTTTGTTGTTTATTTAGCCAAAGAACTTTTATGCTTATCATAATAGCTCTCTGTATTTGATAATAGCTGGCACAACATTAAAAGGCTGTGTTTAACTTCAGAGGCAGTTTACTTTCAATATAAAACTGGGGGAAAAAATCCCTACTTTTTGTTAATAATTAAAGAACTTTGCTACAGATCTATCTTGCACATTAACAGGGACATGTAGAAAGGTTTTGGCCTTCGTAGAGCCAGGTAGAAAGATTTTGGCCTTCATAGAGCCATGCAGAAGTTTTCACTGGGAAGGCACTAGACCAAGGGAAACATCTATCCTCAAAGTCCACCTTCAGGTGGATTTTGTTGCTTCTAATGAGAAGTATCAATATTTTGAAGGACAGAAAAAAAAACACCAAACTAATACTATTGAAAATCAGAAGTGTCTGAGTCAAAAAGCAAGCCACAGTATTAAGGCTCACATAGGTGAGCAAATAACTGTGTATTTATATCCATAAACTATCTACTATTTCTGAAAATTACTTTTTCCTTGATTCTATTATCTGTGTTGTGAAAAGACCACCTAACAGAACAAGAAATTTTTTTATTGTTTAAAGAGGAGTTCTGCTGTAGATCAAAGTAACGTATTAGGAAGAAATCTGCCCACTCATCTGTACCTCATCTGTGGTAGTTTTCCCAAAGGAGTATCAATAAAGAAATAAAACTGCCTTTTAAGTTTGAGCTGTTGCAGGCTTGCCAGCCCCTACCATATAATAATTTTAATAATTACAGTATCTAAGTTGCTGTGAAGTCACTCTGTCTTTAGGCTGAGAATCCTTCCATGCTAATGATGATGTATTTTCAAATAAGGGTAAGATGAAAATTAAAACATCATACACAACAGTCAAAACGTGTCCTGAGCAGAGGACACATGCCCTTGACATGGAGGACAGAGATACAATGCATGCACTAAAAAGCTGCTAAAGAAGGTTGAGTGATGTTCCTCAGTTCCCCCCAGAGTCATTGTTTTTCTTACAGAGCCATTTTGAAGCCCATCAAGAGGAAGGGATGGTCATCTCCCACATGGCTGTTGCTGGAGTGGGAATCTGGATTGCCTTCACATCTGGATCTACGCTTCGCCTGTTCCACACTGAGACACTGAAACACCTCCAAGATATTAACATTGCCACACCTGTTCACAATATGTTAACAGGTAGCTGAATCACATCACGTGATAACATTTTTGTTTTGTCTTTATCACTGTTATGTACAACACTCTCCAGAGTGTTGTAGATTAGGACAGAATCAGAAGGTCTATCTAGGACTTTGAGTCTGATAACCGTCTCATGACTATTTGATTTAATAAATCACAGCCTGTTGCTTGCCCAGAAGAGCAATTTGTGCAGTGAGCTGGTTGAGTAACAGCTGTCCTCCTCAGAGGTTATAAATGTAATTATACAGATAAGCAGGTGGATTCTTCTGTTCAAGTAGGGGCTTTGGGTGTTTTTTCGTGGCTGAAGCAGCAGGACAATGGAGTCTACCATGAAAATGTGTTTGCTTTGCAGAGTTTAGCATTTGCATCTGGAGCTTACTATAATGGAGTCCATTTGCCTAGGATTTGGACCAAAACCCACTTGCTTAATTTTAGCTATATCTGTAGTCCCAGTGAACTCAGCTGAAGCACTCACATGATGCCAGTTCGAGTGTGTTCAGTGTTTTGCTGGTTGGAACTTTAATTTGTTGAATAAAGAGGTTGATCTTATAAGTAAAGATGGAACCTGTGGTTGCTGGGATAAAGTTTAACAGATCTTTAAGAGTTTTAAAACAGAAGCTTATTAGAGACAGTTGCACTGGCCTGTATCAGTTTTGAAAATGAATGGGTAGGACCTGAGCATCAGCAAGCACATCAGGTGGGAGCTGTGGCATTGCTAGCAAAAGGGATAGACAGAAAAGTGATGCTGGCGTGGCTGAGTGTAAGTTCTCCATGAGATGATAACCATTCTCTCTGTTTCTCCCTGTTTATAAACTGCAGTGGACAGAGCTGCTGCAGTTTTTATGGGCAATGTGTGCACCAGCTTTGTCACTTTGTTTCTAGGAGAAGCCAGCACTTCACACACTGAGATTATATTCTAACAACAGTTAGCTATAAATCTTGGTTCAAAAGTGATTCACTTCCTCAGTCTTTATCTTCTTTTCATATTTTCTTTCAGATGGCATTAGCTTTGCAATAAGGTCTATTTTAAATTGTGTCCATTTATATTATGTTTTAGACAGGGTGTTTTTTTTCATGTGGTGTTTGTAGTTCCAACACTGAGCAGCAGCAAAGGGCCATCCTTCAAATAAGTGATTTAATTAAATCATCAGTTATGCAAAGAAATCAAAATCAGTTATAAAAAAAAATTAACTTTGATTATGTTCTGCTGTTTGTAGCGGGGGCGGGGGGGGAAGGGAAGTAGGGCCTCCCTTATGTGTTTTCTGCATATAAAAACTTCATAAAAATTAGCTTTAATGTTCACTGCCATGGCAGTAAAACTGCAGATGTAAAAAACCGTCTTCTTTAAGAAAGTTTTAGCTAATTATATCTCCTTGGTTTCACTTTTACCTGAGTTCCTTTTTTTTTTTCCCTCAGTATCTTTACAGACAGCATGCCATGAATGGAAATGGAAATCTGTTTCAGGAGTAGAATATTATTACAGCAAACGTTCCAAGGGAGAATCCATTCTAAAAATGAAATTCAGTTATTTCAAAGCAGCTCTTGTGGCTGTTTGTATGATCCCTACAGTGCTGCAACAACAAAAGCTAAAAGTCAGAGGACTAGGAGATTTACATAATAAAGCAGCAGTAAGGACCTTTGGGAACTAAAAGCAGCCAAAAAATAAATCAAGGTCTGTGTAGTATATTCTGAGATATAAAAAAAAAAAAAAAAACAAAATCATCAAAAAAACCCCAAAGTGAAACAGAAAAGGAATTAAATAGACATGTATTTACAAGATGCATATTTGCCTTTACTGAGGACTTACAGAACTTTTATTTTTAAAGGAAACAGCTCTGCTAGTTTTCTGAAATCCGTCAGGAATTCTTTAATATGCAAAAAAAATAACAGACAAGTAAAAATTCAACTGCTATCAAAATGAAAGAGAAGAAATTGGTGTCAAAATATTGCTAAGAGTCTTAAAAGACTCTTGGTATAACTCCAAATAAGCTGGACTTATTTTGCCAAGATTTTAGTAGGGACAACACTATGTAATGTTGACCAGATAGGCCACTTGGAGATGTTGTTTGTGTCTTCATTTAAAGCAATGTAAATAAATAAGAGGAGTATCACTCGTTGAAGTTGATGGAATAATTTTGTTGTTATACAGTAGAAATAAAAAATCCTGTTGCTGTCAGGAATGGTTACTGTGAATTGCAGCTCTGTATTTAAAGGACAGCTGTACTAACTAATTAAGATAGAGGAGTAGGAGGTTCCCATAACCTTAGTAACTAGTCCTCATAGCATTAGATTTTCCTAGTTTTGCTCTTAGGAGAGGGCTGCTCTAAATACCACTGTCTGCTCTCCTTGTTGTAGAGGAGAGGAAGGAATTTACCTCTCCTCTTGAGGAAGAGAATCCCACAGGACAGAATCACAGAGGAATGAAGTGTAAGGGAAATGGCATGATTGTCCTTACAATTTGTCAAGGTTTAGTAATACAAAAAGCAGGCCTGTGTCTGGCAGAATCTTTTATCTGCTGGATGTAACTTTGTAAATCTGTGGCAGTCTACTTATGAAGAATGAAGCTGGAAGGGCTCTTGCTTTCTGGAGTTATGGGAAGTTTGTGTGTAGGAATGAAGGACTGGAAATTAAACCAGTGTCCTGGAGGTAACTGTGGGGTAGATATTTAGTCCAGAGCAGTCTGCAGTACCTTTACTTCATATATCATCAGAAATACTTTCTAATAATGTATAAGAAGCTCGTGTTCTGTAACAAAACGGCAAAAAAGAACAAATGCTATATGAGAAATGAAGAGAATGGTTAAAAGAGCAGTGTCATTGTTATCGGTCCAGGTAACAGTTTATTTTACTATTTAGTAAACAACAGTACAAGTGGCCAAGTGCAGCTCTCCTAGCTGAATAGACGGCATACTGAACAGCAGAAAAAAAAACCAAATCTATTAACATTTGAAGTCAAATATATCTACTAATGCAGTGTACTTCATTTGTAAAGCAAGTTTATGCTTCGTGTTTATGATCTTTTGTGATCTGTGGTTGAAATCTCCACAAAGGCAGCTTTTTGCTGCCTTTATCACAGTGCATCAAAACCAAAATCATGCTGTATATGAATAGGCTGCCCATTTGTTTTGTCGTAGTCACATTCAATATTTCGTTATTCAAGAACATCCTTGAACATGTTTTTTGTTTCAGCTTTAAGAGAGTTTGTCCTTTTAAAGTGTTTATTGTGACCTTGATACATATCATTTCATTGCTTGTATGGATGATGACAGGTTACTTTTTCAACGAAGAGGTCATTTCTGCTGAAGGTGCTGTATTCTGTTTATATCCATATATCCCCTAATGGTATATGTGTTTCCTGGAAACAGATGAGAAAGGCAAAGAAAATAAAGAAGTATCATTTCCTCTGCGTGGAAAACAAACTCTACTTTGAAGCTTACAGCTTGCTTTTGTCCCCACCCTACCAGATGTCAGACCATAAAATGCAGTGGGTTTATGATTTTACTACTGGGAAATGATAAAAATATTGGGGGAAACTTTAGGTCAGCCCAATTGATCTGTACAGTAGGCTTATTTTTTATATAGTAAACGCAGCATGGTCATGTAAGGGGGTATGCACCAGTATGCCCTTTTACCCACTTATGGCTGGCTTCAGAAGATCTATATGGGAACATATGAGGATTTACCCAGTCTGGTGGTGGTTGTAATTGAGACATGAGAAAGTTGAACAAAGAGCAAAACATAGGCAATAAAGCCATTTGTCCATGTATAAGTGTAATTGCTGGCTTTGTTCTTCCTAAAGTTGTTCTAGTCAGATCATTTGCAGCGTTTAACAGCTGTCTGCATTGGGACAATGTGATCTAAAAAGTGTCCTTTAAAGATTAGAGTATTTGATTAGGTTTGGCATTTAGGTTTAACATTTTCCCTTTTTGTTAATTTCTGTGCTTACTGTATAATGCATTCTGCAGAATTGGATTTTTTTTTTTCCGAATTTGAAATATATCAGAAAGTCACAAAAAACCCCAAACTAAAGAATATGATTTCAAACCTTGGCTAGCAGATAAATTAATATTTTGAACTAGTATTTCAGTATTTAAAAAAAAAATTAATTTTTTATATATATTTTTTAGTTGTTACATGCTATTTCAAAGTATATTTTCAGATGCAGATGTTTCCTGCCTTTCCAGGATTTCAAAGCAGGTGGTTTTTCTTTTGACCTCACTATAGATGGTTCATGCCTGCAGTTATGCTCAGTGTTTAAAATTCTAAGTTGCTGGCTGATAATTTGCTGTTTTCACCTATGGAAACAGCAATGCATATAACCAGTTTTACCTGGTAAAAATTATTGGTTAGAAGTTGCTTCAGGGTTGGAGTATGAAATAATGTATAAAATTTTACATTTTAAATGCCTAAAAAAGCATTAAAGATCTTTTGTTTTAAATTGTGAGCATCATGCTTCTGTGTGGGCTTTGAGAGGCAACAGTACAATTGGAGCTTTTGAAAAAAGCTTAAAAATTGTACTTTGATCTGTTTGTAGTTTGCAAAACAATCTTTAAGTAAAATGGAGTGAGAGTTAGGTAACCTGCAGTTACTTTGCACTTGCTGTGGCACTGGTTGTGGTAGAGGACTCGCATGTCATATGTAACTTGACCAAGCCTGAGCTCTAAACCATGGAATTCAGATGCCAGTTTTTGAAAACTCCCGTGTACAGAAGTGTTTGAGCATCACAGTTTGAACTCCTTTTGTGCTGAAGGAGGGAGTGCTTTTTGTGCCTTGTTTTGGAAACTAGATTAATCCCATTAATATCTTAAAAAATCCAAATTCCCCCCCCCAACCCCAACAAAATGAAACAAAAAACAAAAAACCCACACCAAAAACAAACCAAAAAGCCCCAAACACCCCCACAAATAAAAACCCACACCACACCAAATAGAACACCACCAAAAACAAAACAACCAACCAAAAGACCCCATCAAAAAGCAAATTCCAAACTTCGAAAGGCTTCTGATTTACTATAGACATAGACCATCGATGACTGTTTAGCTGAGGAGGAATGATGCAGTCCTTCCAGCATAAACACCTACAGTTTATGGAAAACAACATAGGTATCTGTGAAGGTCTGCATGAGCAGATGGAACCTCTTCAGCTTACTTGTGCTTGTTACACCTGCCGAGGGTGACTTAATCATCATGCCTTTAGAGTATTTTAGGATGTGGTTTTGAGTAGACAGAGCTGGGATTCCAAGTCTTGCCCTGCATGTGTATTTTACAACACACCATTGCTGGGTTAATTGTAAAGTTCTGTGAGGAAAAACTTGACCTGGTCTTTCTTCTGCTTTCCAGCTGAGTGCTTTGGGCTTCAGTCAAGCTGCTCCTCCCCTGCTTTCCCACTGGGTCTGTGATTCATATATTCTTGGATGTGATTTGGCTCAGCTTCAAGGAATGAGATGGAAAATGCATTTATTTCTGATACACCATAATTAAGGTCCTTTTCCAAAGTGTGGAACATGTGGGTTCATCCAAGTTGTATCAGATGTGGAATCCAAATGCCCTACTTACTGATGAAGTGATTAACAACTTGAAAGTTGTGGTGAAGATGGGAATGACTCCTCTCTTGCATGTAAAGTTAATCATAAATGCAAGAACATGCAGGGTTTGAAGTTGGAGGATTCCAGCAGAATTTAAATGCTCCTCCACATAAACTTAGGCCATGGCAAAAAGTTTGGGCAAGCTGTAGTTTCCATTTCTGAAACTTGTCAAGGCCATTTTGAAAATCCATCTGAACATATTTAGTAAGCATTGCAAGCAAAACCTTTGTTTTCGTTAGGAAAATAACAATCCTATAAATAATATATTGTAGAAAATCACAGAATCATAGAACAGTCTTGACTGGAAAGTTACTCTGGAGTTCATCTCATCCATCCTTCTTGAAGCAGGCCTGATTAGGTCTGGTTGTTCAAGGACTTGTCCCATCAAATTTTTAGTATCTTTGGATAGGATGGAGATTCCACAACCTCTGAGCAACGTGTTGCAGTATTTGACCACCCTTATAAAGAAGGAGCTTTTCCGTACTTGCAATCCAAATTTCCCACATTCCAAATTTGATCTGTCTGATTGGGTCACTGTGCACATCTGAATGGAATCTGTCTGTTTTCTGCACACCCTCCCATCACATAGGTGCAGACAGCACTTCTTTTAACTTTTCTTTGTACACTATGTGCTCCACTCTCCTTGCCTTGTTTGCCTTCCACTGGACTTTTTCCAGTATGCTGATGCCATTCTTGTATGGGGGACCCAAACTCAAACAGGGGGAGACAGGACTTGTGATACAGTTTCACAGAATAAAAACTAGGAGAAAAAAGTAATTGTGAACAGGTTTGAGTCTTGAGTATAATGTGTTATGGCAATATATTGTTGAGTACTGTGAAGTGAAATGCCTTTCAGTTTTATTACTGAGAATATACAAAGTCTATGTATAAAAGTGTACTTTTAAGAGTAATCTATGTCTACTTTTAGATACTGTGGTTTAGAGATTTAGGAAGAATATTTCAGAAATTTAATAGTATTTAAATTTTCATGTGTGTAAAGTTCTAATACCACAATCCAGCAAAATATTTCCCTTTTTGATAAGTGCTTTGCTGAATGAGAAGATGCAGCTGACTGTGTGTGTGTCTGAAGTGACTTTGATCTAGGCAAAGATTATTGCTCTAAGGTAACAGAGCACTTCCTGAACTCTGCAGGGCAGCAACGTATTTCTGTGACCAGCCTCCTGGTGTGCCATGGCTTATTGATGGTTGGAACAAACCTGGGTATAATAGTAGCGTTACCAGTGCCACGCTTGCAGGGGATTCCCAAAGTAACTGGTGAGTGAAATTTTCAAACAGATCAAGTCCAGTGGTTTTATACTTAAGATTTATTTTCTCTTCTGACAGTAGTTTAAGTAAACCTACCAAATTGTCTGCATTGTTTAGATATATATCTGAGCTTTGTGATGAAATGATATTTGTTGTTCTTCCTGAGCTTTGCAGTATACCCAGACACTTGTCTAGTTTTGTCTCAGTTGTTTGAGCCGGAGCAACTGTTTTTCTTTAGGGCATAAGAATAGGATAGGCATTAATCCTGATGGAGTACAGTCAAATATATGGGGATGAAAAGAGAATGCAAATAACCTTTCTTCCAGAATTGGGGAAAATAGATGCATTAGGTTTAGAGACACAGATGCTGAAAACATAGTGTGTTGTCTAGCTGTTTATTCAGTAAACTGGTTTTATGCCCTTTCTCCCCAGACAGGAGATCTGTAATATATAAGAATATATCTTTCATTTTTATGACAATGATCAAGATTTTTGTGTTTTGGAGAGTTGAGTTACTTCATATTACTGCATTTGAAATACAAATGCATGAATGCTGCTGTATGACTTTGCAAATGTTTAAGGTACTAGGAGAAGCAGGATTTTAGATGTCTGGTTAGTAGGGGCTTTGCACCAGTGTTTTGGATGTTTAGGGTTCGCAGTTCTGCTCAAGCTTTGCACTGTGGTGGGAAGCTGGCAGGTTTTGAGGCAAGCTGTCTGAAACTTCTTTGGAGAGAGGGTAGAGCTTATGTAACTTTGCAAAATGAAAACTAAATCCTCTGTGTTCAGCAAAATATGCAGTGATAATCCAGTATGACACAGGATAAATGTGGAACCTATGTTAGTTGAAAATAAATGCAATACAAGAAAATGCATAGTTGCAGAATCAGAAAATCTGTCATTTTATTCTTTCATTGTCTATTTTCATTGTTGTGGTTTGTATCATCTGTATGTTCTTGCATTTATTTTGGATTAAAATTTGTCATATTTCACAGATCCATCAACGTTACATTTAGAGATCTGTTTTTATACTCTTTGATATTGTGTTTGGAATTTGAACTGAAAAATTGTGAATTTTTCCAGTTTTGCTTCCAATAGTGATAATTCATCTTTATATCATTGCACTTCCCATAAAAGCAGGATATGTTTTATTACATCCTGGACTGCATTAGGGAGTTAGGGATGGACAGAGTGATTTGTAGGGTTATGGGGTTTTCCCTTTGATAGCCTAGCTCTTTCCCATATTGTAGCTATTTTTGTAGAATCCCACTTTTTTTCCTCTTCTTTTCTGCTGTAAAAGCCACACATACTGATATTGTTATAGCTTCTGAATTTGGCCATACACAATTTGGGGGGTTTATACATTTTAATGATTTGCACAGTGTAAATCTTCCTTGGACCACAAACATCCCACTGTTTAAATACTTTTTTTTTTTTAAAAAAAAAGGGGGAAAAAATAATGGTTTGGTCATTTCCTTATGAATCTGACATGGTAACTAGACAGCCATTTCGAGGATGAGTTTTAATTCCTGCTGCATAGTGTGGAGGGGTCTGTTACAGTGAAACAGGTGTTCCTCTCTATTTCGGAGAGGTACAGAGGGACAAGAGGATTAATTAAAAAACACGGATTACTGGAGAAAACTCAGTCTTACATTTGTGAGAACAGAGCACAAAAGTAAGTCAAATTAAATTTATAACGCCATGTTTCAGGTGATTTACTAGTACAGTCCTAAATCACTTGTGGTACATTAAATTACTTTTTTTGTGCTTATTTTTTCCAGTAAATTGTGTACACACAAGGCAGAATAGGGTTTTAAGAGTTACGCTATTCTGAGAAAATTTCACTAATCATGGTGAAACAATGTGCTAAAATAATGTTCTTTAATTGTCTTTCTCTTTTGGCTTCAGGAAGAGGAATAGTGTCGTATCATGCACACAATGGTCCAGTCAAGTTTCTTGTAACGGCTGCATCTCTAAACAAGAAGAACAGAAACAAATCGCGGAACAGCCTGCCTTCTGGCTCCGAACCTAAAGAGGATGACCAAAAGAACGTTCTGCACAATGAAAGACTAGGTTCTTCCCTTAGTAATGCCCATGACACGGCAATTTGGCTGGGGGGTTCAGTAGGATCCATTGCACAAAAAAGTGACTTGTCATCATCTTCTGGATCCCTTACGATGTCTCATGGATCAAGTTCCCTAGAACACAGGCCAGAAGACAGTAACATTTATGAGCTTTTGAAAGATCAAAATATCTCATTTAAAAGTAAAAGACAGAGATCCAAAAAAATGAAAGCAAGTTCAGTATTAGTCATTTCTGGTGGCCAAGGACACAGAAGAGTGAACAAGAAGACCAAGCAGCAGCGACAAGATGAACTAGTGTCTTCAGTGATGGTCTGGCAAGTCCCACTATTAAATATCTAATTGAACTAAATCCAAGACACCTTCTGCTGTTAAAAAAAATCTGATATCCTTTTACAGCAGATGCCAGCTTAGGACCCAAATGGATAGACTTTATGCACCTGGAAGCAATTTCAGCAGGCTGTGATCACAGGATTAAGAGTTGCAAGATAGTCTTTACATACTTAGAATATTCTGCAGTATTAAGGTATCGGAAAATGTTCAGCAATTGATGCTGTCCTTGATACTCAGAACAAAAAGGATCTGTTAGACACTTTTAAATGGTTTTAGAATCTGTACCTTATTTATATTCACATTTATAAATATCATAATTATGTTCTATAGCACTTAGAGAAGGCAAGGAACACATGCCATGTCTCATGCAGGTTTTTGCCGATGTAAATCAGCTGTTGTTTCATTTTCCAATTTGGCATATTGCATGGACTGTAGATTTTAACAAATTAGCAAATATTTTTAAACAATAAATAGTCTAATGCAAGCTAATAATAATTTGGTAATTACTAGAATAGTTTGTAACATTGTATCAAAAGCAGAGTTTGGTCTGGACAAAAGCAGTTATATTAATTGATTGGTATTTGTTTATTTCAACATAGAAAATAGATTTTAATTATTATTAATATTTCTAATGCTCAGTATTATTAAAAATGTTGCAGTACAAAATGCAAATGCATGTTCTTGGTAGGTGCAATGTATCTGTGACTCACCTTCATTACACAGAGAAAGTTCAAAAGATGCTATGGCTTACAGAAAACAGAAAATACAGGTACAGGGCCACTGTGCATTGTAGTGCTGTTAACACATTCTCCCCGGCAACTCAGTACCAAAGCTAGACATGGACTATGCCATTTTTAAGGCAGATGCACATCCAGTAAATTAATAATGAAATTGTTAACTGGGGAGAAAGATACTAATATTGGAATATCTATAGGAAGTACAGGGTAATTACTGTGGGTGTAGGCCCTACATCAATTGATTTGTGCTGTGTCCTCAGGCAAACGCCAGTCAAATAATGTCACAGCACAACAGCAGAGATATGGTCATATCTTAGTGGTGGTCACCTCTTTCCAGACAGAGTTTCAGCAAAATGTGGTCATGTAAATAGATATTGTGAAAATAGCATGCACAGCTTCATTCACTCAGCTGAGGAAGCAGTTGCTTTGGTAGTGTTAGAGGGCTGAGTTCTAAAAAGAGACCTAATTGTCATTTCTTAATGAATCGATGTATTTCCAAAAGAAACTCTGAATTTGGGATTCCTACAGAAATTGCTTTTTGCGCTACTGACTGCACATGTGAAATACAAGACAAAGCTTTCAGCTCACAAAGATGTTGTGATGAGACACATCCTGCAGTCAAAATATGTTTAATACAGATAACATGTTGAATTGAGTCACTGGAAACATACTTTTCCCTCATCAATAGACTGAAAAATGCAGAGAAATGAGGATGATTAAGTTTCCGCTGAATATGTGAAGAACTCTAATACTGCCCAACAGTAAAATGCAAATTAAATATATCTGAAGCAGAACATTTGTCAGATATATGTAATGAGTGGAATCAAGTAAAACTTCTGGGTGCTTTGCTACCGTAATTATTCCATATCCCGTTAAGGAAAGTTACTTGGTACCACTGAAATTATTTCTGCTACTTCTAGAACAAGCTCCTTGGTTCCACCATGTTTTGTTTCAATCTGCCTAGTTTAAATCAACATCAAACATAATTAGAGTGCTTCCCAGCATGAGACAGTTCAGGGTAAACAGTACTAGAGACTGAATTATTTTGTTTGATATGAGAAAAAGTTTTGGTTGGGTTGGGGGTTTTTTGAGGGGGGTTTGGTTTTTTTTTTTTGTGTTTTTTTTTTATAGTGTTTTTTACTATTAAGTGTTGCTGAAATTTATTTTCTTTATTTTGCAGCAGATTTGTGTATATCTTAAATTTTCAGTCTGTTTGCTCTAATAAGCAAACTTCTACCAAGGTGACCCCAAAATCACTGGCTGGGCTGATTTAGTAAGTTTGACAGAACACCAGAGTAAGGTCAGGTCTTCCTGCCATCTGCCAACTAGTACATGGGACAGAGGGAATGCCAGCACAATCAGTCTTTGCCTTCTAGGTGGCACCAAGACAGGCATTTCAAATATCAGATCAGCACCCTGGTTTCATCTTAGAGGTTTTACCCACACCCTACATTCCTATGAGAACAGGTTTCTTGAGCCATAATAGCACAAATTTCAATGAGTCATGAAGGACACTTGTTACAGATGGGATTGTAGGCTTAGGGTCTTCATTATTGTTTTGTGCTTTTATTCTGTGTCTTTTGCTGTGTATCTTGCGACTTCAGTTGGGTATTGTCAGTGTTAGCATGGGCTTAGGATTGGCATGAGTCCTGGTGCAAGAAAAAAAAATAAATAGGGCAGAGTGCCTCTAAGCCAGGCAGCTGGCAACATTTCCCCAAACTTTTCCTCTTCTCCCTGGCTTACTGCCTGGGCTTGCCCAGTTTGAGGGATTAAGGCCAGTTGCATTTTTTACGCTCTTCCATAGCTATGGCCCTGGGAGCTGCTCTTTGCCCACCGTGTGGAAGTACTACCTTGTACAGTTTAATGTATGTATATTGAAAAACAAGTTAAAAGATTCTTCTGTGTATAAAGCATATATAACCTAGTATCCCTTTGCTACACTGCAGTAAAAAGACCATAGTTTTTTTTCTGTATGCTTCTTGGACGTGGGATTCCACATCTGTGCCTTTGGGACTACTCTTGCGGATCTTTAGGAGCAATAAGCAGAGTCCACCATACATTCAACTGGAAATACATACATGGCATTATTACAGGATCTGCTAGGAGTAACACATGAGAGTTTTAACGTGAAATTCATCCTATCTACTGGCTGAAATGTAAATTTCTTCAGTTTTATCAATAACAGTAGAAACAAAGTATAAATCTGCTCCTCTGTTGCCAGTATGACTTCAGTAAGAGCAGAACTGGGTCCCCCATTTACATTATGCCATTTTGAAAATATGTATCTACTTATCTTACCTGTGAAGCAAAACAGAAGCTGTATGTCTTTATAAATATACATTGACATGAACTAGATTTTTAGTAACTAACTGAGCACAAGGTGCAATGTTTATTTTCTAATACTTAGCTAACTGGTGTTACCTTATTATGGAAACAGGCAGGAACCAAAGTTTCTCTTACAGCTGGCGAATAGTCCTTATAGCTGTTGTAGACTGTGCTGCTAAATAGGTTGGATTTTGCTTTCCGATACTGCTTTTCTAGATAAATAGAAGTTATAGAAAATACTAGGAAAAGAGGGGAGCAAGTGTAACCACTATGGTATCTATATATGTTTTCTAACACATAATAATGTCTTTTATAACATCAGCCATACAACTTGTGTATTTATGTTCAAAGTATAAACTGAGAGAAATGTTTAATAAAAGATGTGATAAAAATTAACTTCAGAAATACATTTCTTGGGTCACCGTTTTAACTAGGAGACTAGAATTTGTACCATGCGTTAATGAATAACATACATATTAATGGACTCATGAAAGGGAAAATAGGTATGTGATTAGGACAACGAGGATGTATCTTTTTAGGTTTTTAGTTTCTACAATTTAAATGCCAGCAAATGGAATTTCTCAAAATGATTCAGTCTCTTAGAATAAGTTTGACCGGTGTATCAGTGTACCCAAATAATGTTTAAGCAGTAGAATTTCTACTGTGCAGTCTACATTGAATTTGGGCAGCATGTATGATGCATAAAAATGAGAGGAATTAATATTCCAAGTGAGTGTAATACAGCAGAGTGTTAACAGAGGAAATTAATTTTCAGTTGCTAACTGGCAATTCTTTCTAATTAATCTGCCCTAAAGAGTATATACAGAGCCCCATGACTGTGTTTAAATATGGAGACTTGTATTCATCAGAGTCAGCAATAGCCTTTTTGCATGTACCTGCACTTTTATAAACAAACAAGAAGAATTACTGATTGTGCATGGTTGCTAGTGAGGCCTGCCTTTTTGTTCCCATTCTTACACATCTCTTCAATATATGGTTCTGAAAAATGTCAGATCACAAGAGTGCAGGATAGTGTATGTTCATGCATCTGAAGACAGATTCTGTCCCACAGGGAATTTACTGCTCATTATTTATGGGTTTGAGGCTGAGAGCTAAACATTGCCCATTGGAGAGAAAACAGTATTGAGAAGTATTTCCTGAACTACGCTTCTGTGCTTAAACTTCAATGTTCCTCCTCCTGTTTAATTTTCTGAGCACGTAAAGACAAATAGTTTTTTGTAAAATGCATTTGGGGGAAAAATCTGTGGTTTGAAAGGTGCAGCTATATTGGAGGGCTCTGTAAGAGTTCATCTGTATTGCAATGAGTGATACCATGGAGTTGATATAGTATTTTTAGATTGCTTTATATATATTCATAGTAATAATACTTCACATAATAGTCCTGTTAGGCAGATTAATATAATCTGTAGCTAGGAAGAAGCAGAGTTGAAGAATGTTTGCCTGACTTGAAGCTGCATTATGACTCTGTGAAAGTACACAGATTAAAGCCACTACTGCTCTTTAAGCCCATGATTAGCCCTTTAAACTGCCTCCTTCTTGCAGGCATCCTGTGCGCGTGGTTGTTGAGACTGTGCTAGTGAACTGGCCAGGAGTAGGGCAGCAACAGGAGCACTGATCTATGATCATAGTCAGTAGCTGGCTGTCTGGAACTCAGCCTGGTCTGGGCTGCTCCCATCAGACAGCACTGACAAGGCTGCTTATCTGGGATATTTTGGGTACTGATTAACAACAAGAATGTAAAATGTGTGGTCCCACTTGCATAATAGGCTCTTTGCCTCTGGAGTCTTGATGCTAATGTGGCCTGACATGTATCTATACAAGCTACTTCATATGGGAAGGTTGCCAGCAGTCTAGAACTTGAGACCAGTCTCTTACGGTCAGGAGACAGAAATACATATGAGCATAGACTTGATACCAGTACATACGTGTGCCAGTGGCTGGGATGAGGAGTCTTCTTGTTACTCTGTGATAGTTCAGCTGCATGCACCATGCCACAGCTCAAAATTCTGGTTTATTTATAGTTGTATGTAGAATCTACATCCCATTTCCGCACAAATGTGGATCTATCTGCTATTGATTTAAGAAGTCTAGCTCAATATCTTTTCCCAATTGGTTTATATGCTGCTGCCTTGTACTTGTGCTTACTTGATCCTAGGGTTTTTCCTGAAAGGCCTGCCTGGCTACCAAACTGCCAGAAACACTCTTTGTCTCCTAAAAGAAAGAATCAAAATAGCAACACTGAAGCAACTTCAGATGAAAGGTTCTGAAAATTTCCTAGGCAAATGAGGATTTACTGTGTGCCTCCATTTGAAATGCAACAATGTCGATGTATGACCGAAAACACCTCAAGTGCATTGGCCAAGCTCCATAAACCACATTGTAAAGGCAGTTAGTCTTTCACAGCATGACCTTCAAAGGCGTTCAAAGAGAATTTTCTTTTTCCTCCAGCAAAACAGGCCTTGACAGCAGAACTGCAAGTTCTCGTGTTGTATATATTATACTCCAGGGATAATCATGGTTATTATTAACGTGTGTCCCAACCTGGAAGATGAGTGAGAACACCTAGGATTAAAATGGCACACCTTGGGGGAGCTGAAATCATTGTAAGAATTCACTGGAAATACGATTTAAGGAGTATTTTGACATCAAAAGATTCAGGTGAGCCTCCAGCGAAGTTTTATCAAGCACCAACATACCTAATTTCCACTAAAACCTCTACATGCCCAAATGAAGATAAAAAGAAAGGTTTTGAATTCAAGAAACCATTTACAGCTTTGCTACGGTTACAGAATTTTAATTTTGCTTTCTATTATTCCACGTTGGAGAGAAATTCTAGGGGTTTCACCTTAAGCATCAGGGTTGCCTTGAATTTTGGCACAAAAAAATGCATTGACCCATGACTTCCAAAGCAAAAGGCAGAAGTTGTTTCCTGTGGGCTTTTCTGATTTGTTCTTTCTGTGTGCATTTCAGGTTGCAGAATGTGCCTCTCAGACTGCACTAAATGCTTTTTTAATGTTCCCTTACTGAAGAGGTTTGTTTTGTTGTGTTTTTTATATTCTTTTTCTGGAGAGTTGGGTAGTAGAGACTACATGCATTAATGAGGATTACCCCTAGTTTGGACAAGATTTGTAAACACAGCTTCTCTGCAATGTTGCTTAGAGCAGTCTCTGATGCCCTTAATCCTGATCACAAGCAACTGACACTGTCAGTTAACTTAAGCTGCTTCTACACTGCTGAACTCAAGAGCACTTGGAATGTTCCTGACGCACATCCAGAGGCTCTGTCAGGTGAGATCCGTGTGCTAGTCCATGCCCTGCACAAACCCTGCTGTCTGGGCACACAAAGGTGGCTATAGCCTACACCTGTACACGAGGAGGTCTCATTGTCACACCAGTATTCTGGGAGAAATGTGCTGATGACAAGGTGTTTTGCTCACAATTCATAGTCATGGATGCATGTTGATGAGACAGGTGGTGGGACAACCCATGGCTGGTTATGGCTGGATAATCTCAGAGCACTGTACAGAGCAAGGGTTTGTTTTTATTCTCTTCTTCAAATTCTTTGGGGTTTTATTATTTGTTTTGGGAATTATCTGCTACAAGCTGATAATGCCCCTGATGCAACCAGCTCTTTCCATTCAGTTCTACTATTTGGGTATTTTACAGGGATGTGTGAAAACTAACGCACAGACAGATCAGCCAGGGTTAGCATTGGGTGTACACAACATAGCCTACCTAACACACCTACAGCATATATGGTTTTTGTATTGCAAATACACAAGTAGTTTAGGCATCTTTGGCTACTCAGCAGAAATACAATAACCATTTTGTCTGTGCAGCAATAGCATCAAAACAATTCTTGAGGATGTTGTGTTATAATACCAAAAAGCATTTTATGTAGGAGTGTTCAGCTGTCAAACACAGCGTGAGCAAAATGACTTGGGTTTTCTGTTTGTGCTTTTTGTTGCCTTTTTTTGTTTTGTTTTGGGGGTTTTTGTTTTTTTTTTTGTTGTTGTTGTTTTTGTTTGTTTGCTTTGCTTTTTTGTTGATTTTTTTGTTGTTGTTGTTGTTGTTGGTTTGCTTTTGGGTTGTTTTTTTTTATTTTGACTTTTGGACATGGACCTGAGCTCCAGCTACTGCAGGAACCACCACCACCAGCTACTGCCACTATGTGTCTGATCCTCTGGTATGCACAGGTGGAATGCTATGGAGTTTCATCTATGCCAGTTTCAGAATTTTGATGCTGCAATGTTTATATTTTTCTAAGACAGCCTTGTGCCAATCTAAATCACAAAAGAATAGCTTACCAACAGCTATGCATCTGCATAGACACTGGCAGCAAGTCTAGATTGTGTAGGCACACAAGTCCTACCTCGTGTGCTAGACATGTGCCCACTGGACTCAGTGAGTGAAGGCTGCAAAGTCCACCTAACTGCCCGGGTAAATAACTGAGCATGGCACCATCCTCAGCTCCATGCTGCCATGGGTACACTACCTGCACAGTTCTACCTTGCTTGCTTGCTTGTAAAAGCTACCCTGCATATCCCTGTGTGAGCTATGTTCTGAGCCCATTATCTAGGAAGGTTTAAAGCCTCTTGGTCCATAGGGTATGGGTTGAGTGTTTCATTTGGGTGAAATAACAATTTTGTTAAACGATTCCTAACCCTCTTAAACAAGAAATTCTGTAGCTTCACTTGACAAGAATCAACCCCCTGAGACTAGGCTAATTAATTTTTAATGTGATCTGCTGGCAAATTTTACTGAGGAGCAGAGAATTTGCTCCAGCTACCAGGTAGGCCAGACCTACAGAACAGCCTCAGAGCTGGGAATCGGAGCAATGAAGCTGCTACTGCAACCAATGGGAGGAAGAAAAGAAAAGCAGTACCTCTCCCAAGAAGAGCAGAACCCTGCTAAGCGCTGAGGAGATGTACATCTCTCTGGCTCAGGATGCCATTTGGTGTCCCTATCATGAGAATGGCATTCTGCTTTACTGTCCATTTCAGCATCAGAGTCATCACAGTCTGACATCTTCTAGGAAGCAGAAATTCCAAATCTTTTGTTTTGCCTGATTTAGATTGAACAGACAGAAAGGTGTAAGATGAAAAAACATTGCTATTCATATTTCTTCATCTGGATTTTATTATTTTTCTTTTACCAGAGAAACATCTGATAATTTTTTTTTTGTTCCAAACTGTAATCCCTTTTTAATATTGAGCATTTCTCCTGGTATGTGAAAGACAGGATGGGCTGTGTGTGACTGGGCAGGAACTAAGGTTTCTGGGACAAAGAAAACACTCCCCTTCCTGCTTTTATTCACCTCACTGTGCTCACCACTCTTCTGTTGTTGCTCCTGGCTAATTGCCCCTTGCAGAACACAGGTATCTTAGCAAGTGTTGATGGCCAGTAGCAGCAGTTAAAAGCAGTTAGTCCCTCTGAATATTCTTCATGCTGGCTGGGCTACAGAAACACAAGACAGACACCAAATTGTGTATTAGGTAAGCTGTGTGATTACCCGATTTCTTTAGGACAGGTCTGGGACAATCATTCTACAGCTGTCTGTAGCTACACCAGTCTGACTTTACAGCTAATGGAAAGAAACAAGGAATATCAAAGGATGATTTACCTCATCCTAAGATAAGGTGTCTAAGATCGGTGAGAAAACTGCCCTCCAGACAGGGTTATTCATTTTACATTAATTATAAATGGAGCTTCAGGGAACTCGAGTTAAGTAGGGAATCTGAACTAGAACTGAGATGATTTCTACAACAGGTATCCCAGTTTTTAGCATCATCTCCAGTTCTACTGAAAACTGAAAGGCTAGTTGATGAGCAGCCTTGTCCTTCACAGGTTTCCCACGGAGCAGTATTTCAGAGAAATTGTGCTAATAGGTCAGCAACTTGTGTTTTTACTGACTGTGTTTTTACTGAAAGGTTTGATGACAAAGGGTTATAGGGTACCAGAAAGAAACTTAAGAGGGGGTGCAGCACACTGAGGCTCACAAAGGTAGGGAATCACTGCCCAAAGTTAAACTTTGAGAAAGCAGAACTGAGGTCATTTTGCCCACTCTGCTTCTAGCTGTGTCCAGTGAGGGCAGAGGATAAAGTCTGCAACAGCTGACTGCTAAATGACTTCTCAGGCTAGGACATCCATGGAGCCTGGATTCTGTGTAGGTCTTTTACTGGCTCCAGCCACAGGGGCAAGTATGGCCTCTAAACACACAGTGTGCTGCTTCTTATCCACCATTGACTTCCAATCCTTTACAGAAACTGTAGCTCAGACACCTCTGTGTACACATGGACTAAAATGTGATGTGCCAGTTAAACCCAAAGAGGAGCTAAGCAAATCTGTCTGTGCTGAAAATCATCATATATTCAGAAAGCATGAGTCAGAACAATCTCAAATGGTCTCAGATATGATAATGCTGCTACAGTCACATAACTCTTGGCAGTCAGAGTTCTGAACAGAAGTCAGGCACCTCAAGGGGACATGATCCTCCACAGAGGAATAGAACAACAGGGATTTTTAAAGCGAAAATAATTTCCCAGACCTGTATCAGTTGCCTAATTTCAGTGTCATCTTGAAATATATGGTATTTAAAGTAACATGGAACAGCAGGAAGATTAGTTCCTGATGTCAGGAGAGAAGAATTATTTCTGGCAGGTTTTAATGGATCTGTGAAATCATCACATGGAAACTTCTTCCAGCCAGTTAAGAATAAAAGCACATACAGAAATTAACAGTCCAATCATATAATGGGGCCTAATTAGGGGACAGCAGGAAATTCACAATTATGCCAAAGCCACATGTTGTGGTCACCAGTTATTCTAAGATCCCTGCAATACTGTATGATTCTTAATTATCTTACAGCACCAAGAAGCATGCTGGCTTCTCTCAGTAGAGATGAGACATGACCTCAGCTTGAAAATCAGCCTTCTGGTTAAGCACAGCATTGAAGTGCACAACATGAACAAAGCCAAAGGTTTCAAGTGGCTACAGTTACCCAGTATCTCATCTGCTGAGTATGTACACTCGGTGTACAAGTACTGTGTATATATGAATTGTCTGACTCCTGGAAGGCTGTCTGGAGACAGGCAAGATGGCCTAGTCTTATAAAGACCATTTTGACTTGACAGATGAAGATGTAGCTGCAGTCAAATCATAGAAATGTTTACATATTTTATTTAGAAAGAAGTCCCAAAACTTAGGTGTATGAAGTCCTGATATTTTGAGGTTTCTTGAATTCTCATTTTCAGGTTTTTTTCCCCTCAGCTTATCTGTTTTTCTCTTTCAAATAGGCTGCATTATTATTCATGTTTCCCCTTTAGTTACCTGCTGTATTTAACACTCACCCATTTGATGTTAGTCATTCTGTACTTGTGTGTTTGTTCTTGTTTGTTGTCCTTACTACAATCAAACCTAGACAGTAATTAAATAAGACCTAGATATCAAGCACTTGAGTGTATTAAGGGCTAACTCAACACCTATGAGTTTTAGCACAACTAAAGTAAAAAGGTAGGATTAACGGGACAAAATGAATGGGAAGACACCCAATCATGCTTAACCACCACCACTATGATGCTGGAAGAACATACACCCCCAATGGTTACATTGCCAACACATTGGAAATGAATGGTCAGGTTTGGAAATGAATGGTCAGGTTAATTTGAGAGAGGAGACAGTAGCTTTGCAAGTCTGCTCAGAAGTGTCTCCACTTGCTGGGCGGCTGCAGGAGAACCAGTCTGACGGGACCCTGGAGTCAGTGGAAAGAGAGAAAAAGAAAAGCTGCAGATGAACAGTGTTTGGAGACAGCAGTATCACAGGAAAACTATACATTGCAATGGCAACATGATACATCCAGGCACCAGCAATGGTTCAGAAAGGCTTAGCACAGTGTCAGTGCCTACTACCCTGGTAGAAGTCAGATTGTGGCCCACAGTGGGACTTGAGCTAAGTACCAGCGACTGCACTGGGTGCAGATCCAGGGTACAAGTAATATAACACGAGGGCTTTTTTCAAGAAACTGGGAAATGGGTTTAATTTTGGGAATCCCGATGACAGCCTCAGCATTGACGAGGACAAAATGGGAGCCTGACACAAACTGCAGTCAAACGGAACCCACCTGGCCTCTACCTCGCTGTGTCTCCGCGGGCAGAAACCCGAATAACCCAACAGCTGCGGTTGGAAACCCTCCCGCAGCGAGAGACGGGGAGCTCCCAGGCGAGGTGGGAGGCCGGGCTGCCGGAGGGGCCGTGGTCAGCCGGGCCGCCGTGCCCATCAGGCCGCCGCTGCAGCAAACCACACGGGCCCTGCCTTAGGAAGGGGAGCAGCAGCTACCTCAGGAACTGCTTTCCCCACCCCGCTATGAGGTGAGGAGCCGCCGTTTCGCCGCCCGGCGGCGCCAGGAGGGAGTTTCTCCTCAGCAGGGGCAGGTGGGGCCGTTCTGCCGCCTGCCCCGCCTCACCGCAGCGGGGGAGCGCGGACACCCGGCCCGGAGCGCCGTCGCTTCCCGCTTCAGGGGCTGCCCCTTGCCGGGCGCTGCTGCGAGCAACAGGTCCGTGCTTTTTCCTCCCTCCGCCAGTGCGGGAGTGTGTCAGGCGAACAAAGGGGCTGAGCGCGGCCCCGCGTCCCCTCCACGCAGCGGCCGCCCGGCCCCTGTGCTTCAGCCATTTGCGTCGCCTGGCATCGCACCGCCGCTTCCCCAGCACCGCTTCTCCTTCCCGGCTTCCCCTACCAGCTCCGACTCCAACCGCCGCTGCGCTGCAGGCAGCGAGGCGGCGTGGAGGGAGCTTCCCCAGAGCGACGTGGGGCTCGCCGGCCGTCACCCAGAGGTAAGCCCCTGCCTGCCGGGAGAAAAGGAAGAGGCAGCGCGGCGACGAGCCGGGAAGGGGTCGGACACGTCTAGGAGGCGGGGGGCCGCGGCTGCGGACTCGGGACGTGCCCGACCCCCTCCGGGCTCCCCGCCGCGGAGCCTCCGGGGAGAATCGATTCCGGTATCTGCTTATAGCTGAGGTAAAATACGCGCCGCGGAGACAACGGTAGCCCTGTGGGGAGGTTCGGAGCACCCTCAGGTTTAATAGTGCTTTTCCCTCAGTACCCCTTAATCCATCTCCCTGGAAGAGAAGTCCAAGCATATATCCGTATCCCTTCTCTGTATGTCGCAGAGGAGCCAAACGTGATGCCTGCGTATTTTGTTATCCTGCTGACCTACTAAAAATCTGAATGACTCTTTACAATAGAGTATAGAAATGTGTAACAGCATCAGATTGCTTCCCGCTATAAATTCTTCATGGCGTGCTTCCCCATCCTATTAAAAACACATGAGAGGTGTGAGCCCTGGGTGTACACACGAGTGCATGGCTTTGCAGGGTGGAAGATGCCTGAATAAAAGTCCTACTGAGTTTCGTTTGTCCAAAGCTCATAGTTTTTTTTTTATGTGTGGTCTTTTAAAGCAAAAAAAAAAAAAAAGAAAAAAAGACAGCTCCCAGACCCAAACTTACAGATGGCAGAAATTGATAGTATTAGATCCTATAGCCAACTTTTTCCACCTATCTAGGAGAAATAAAACCTTCTAGAAATAATATTATATAAAGCTTTTCCACATCAATAGAAAATTAGAACAAAAAGCTAGAAAAAAGTAGGGCAATAAAAAAATAGAATAGCAATAAAATAGAGCAATCTTTTTATATGATCTGAGAAGCTAAAGAGCTCCGTTTTTCAGACTTAACCATCTGTCTCCCAGAAATTAAATGGAACGTTTATGGAAAATAGTAATTAAATTGTCAGTAGTATTGACAAAACAATATGTGCTCCCCTGGTTTAACTCTGGCTCATCCTGCCTGTTCTGCATTCTTCTCTTCCCAGCACCCATCACACAGCATTTATTCACACTTTAATTAGGACATCCAGTGCATGCCAGTGGGATCCTCCAGTCATCCACTGCTAATGGCAGTTTCTGATGAGAACCTGCCAAGAGCCCAGGACTGGTCCCTTGCCTGCCCCAGTTCCCCCCAGTCTGCATGGCCTTGCTCCTGGCAGTAGTGACACTGAAGTCAATGGTGGCTCTTTTAGGAGATGGAGCTCACAGGACTGTGCCTTGTTAATATCAAAAGATTGAAATCCTTAATAGCTTCCTTTCTTCAATGAATGCTTTGCTTGCATTGCTTTTCAGTGTAACAAATCGTCCAAATAGATGGACAGATCTGAAATGTCCATAAATATTAGAGCACCATTACTTGGCAGGAACATTCAATGAAAGCCATTAACTGGCTTTACTATAATAAAGCAGGATTATAGTATTGGGGCTGGCCTGGGTTACTGTAAAGACAGTGATGTGGTTAGATGACTGGATGCAGATCCTACTTAGCAGGGGTTTTGGCATCCTATAGTATCCTGTTGCAAGAGGGTATTAGGGGCAGCTGGCTGCTAAAGAAGGGTGTAATAAAACAAGAAAGGAAATCCAGCAATTTCTTCTAATGTAGAATTAACATTTTTTCTTTTTTTTTTCCTGGTGAGATCCTGTATGGATTTTGCAGGGATTTTGCTATTTATCCCTTCTGAGAGTTTCTGCAGCATTGCAGTTAGGCTATCTCTTTCCTGTGAACAGAATTTGAGAAGTTATTTTATACCACTTCACATCCTTGAAAACGCCCATGTAAAAAAATGAGCACATTTTCATTGTGTTTTGATCTTGTTAGTCTTCCCAGGACATGACACTTTTATATCTGCTGGGTTACTTTTCAATTAAATTGTCATCATCTGTTCTTTCCTGCTTCTGTTTTGGTCTCAGTGTTGTTTTGTAAGAGAACAGGCATGATTAGTTCCTTTCATTGACAAAGAATTACTTTATGGTAACTCAGGATTTGACAACCAGATGAACCTAATGCATGACTGATCTGTCACTGGGTGGGAAGGGATCCTGCTCCTTCCCTAGCCTGGGACATACATTATTGCCAGCTTCCTTGTGCCAGCACTAGTAACCGTGTGATGGTACAGTGAATGGATAGAGATTTTGCCTTCCTCCTGCAGTTAATGAAGCAAGCACTCAAGTTGACATATGTCAATGTTGGTATTATGAGTGGTGGTCCTAGTCCTGTGACCAGAGCATTTAAATCTGCATGTAACTCTGCAGGATCAGTACCGTACATTGGTGTGTGTTTTCCTTAGATAGCGTTAGCAATTAAGTGGCATTTTTTCTGTCCTTATCCTAAAATGCAACTTGGATGCTAGCCATCAATTCTGGCTTTGAACAAGTTACAGGACTGGGTCAGTATTGTATATGGGTGATTGAGTGTTAATGCAACAAAGAGTTGCCTGGGTCCTTCGTTCTGCACTGCATGTTTGGTACTTTCTAGTGTCTTATTCCTCATCAGTGAGGATAGTAGGAATTCGTGATCAGTTAGATCAGTTTATTTAATGCAAGGTAAGCTAAAATAAAACATCCAGTAGTTCCACGGATTTTGCACTCTGTGGCAGGGAGAAGAAAGATGTGTCACATAAATGCTTTTCAGGTGCAAGGTTTCATGAACTGCCATTGCTATGCCTCTGGCTAAACCAGACAGGTGGACAACCATTTTTTATTCACTCAAACACATCAGAAACCACAACCTTTCCATACAAATCCACATAAATTGGACAAGCGGTTTCCATGCTGTTGTGTTGTCTGTCACAACATGATTTGCATTAATTAATAGTATTGAAGTTACCTTACATGTGCACATTCACAGATTAGCACAAGCTGTTTGTTGTTTTTCTGGACACTGATTCCTCCAGAAGTATTTTGAGGAGTAAGGTTTGCATATGGATCTCAAAGTGCTGGAAGGCTCCTGGATTCCTGAATCATTTCAGCCCATCAACATGTCAGAGATCTGCAGTATTTTTCTTCCTTTTCCATTTTTTTTTTTTTTTCCTTGGAAGCAGCTCTGCTTTCCTCTCCCTCTCTTGTAAGTAGATTGGAAGAGCAGTCCCCAAGCTCTGGAGATAAACTATTATTTCTGTGACCCATATTTTGAAGTATTGGGAAGAACCAAAAGCCAGCCCTTTGCTACAGGAACAGCGTGCGAACAACAGATGTTCTGATTCTGTCAGTCAAAGACAAATCTTTTTATGGTAGAGCTCTTCTCTTATCCTGTAGCTTTCTTTCAGCTCTCCTTTACTGCAGCTCCCCGCATTGCCTCAGTTAAAAAAAAAAGCTACACGTACATACACATTTGATTGTACAGTTGTGGTGAGTTGACCGTGGCTGCATGCCACATGCCCACCAAAGCTGCTCTATCACTCTCACAGAGGAAAGAAAAAGGCTCGTGGGTTGAGATAAGGACAGGGACAGATCACTCGCCAGTTACCATCACAAGCAAAACACACTTGGGGAAATTAATGTAATTTATTACTAATGAAATCAGAGTAGGATAATGAAAAATCTAAAAACACCTTCCCCCCACCCCTCTTCTTCTTACGCGCAACTTCACTCTCAGTTTTCTCTACCTCCTCCCAAGTGGTGCAGTGGGTTGGGGTCAGTCTATCACACATTGTTTCTGCTGTTCCTTTCCTCCTCAAAGGAAGGACTCTTCACAGTCTTTCCTTGCTCCAGCCTGGGGTCCTTCCCACAGGAGACAGTCCTCCAGAATTCCTCCAACAGACTACAGTTCTTCATGGTGTGGGTCCCTTCCACAGGGTGCAGTCCTGCAGGAGCAGACTTCTCCAGCATGGGTTCCTCTTTCCACTGGGCCACAGGTCTTGTCAGGAGCCTGCTCCAGTGGGGACTTCCCCAGGGGTCACAGCCCTGCTCTGGCATGGGGTCCTCCTACAGAGGTGTTAATTGCTGTTGCTGATGGTCTTGGTCTTGGTCATTGGTGGATCCATTTTGCAGCCAGCTGGCATTTGCTCTGTTGAACACAGGAGAAGCTTATAGCAGCTTCTCACAGAAGCCACCCCTGTAGCCCCTCGCTGCCAAAACCTTGCCATGCAAACCCAGTACAGCACTGTAGGAAATCCAGATGCTCATATAGTTAATGGGAATTTTCCCTTGACTGCAACGGGGATGGGATTTAAAGTGATGTCAGACTCTGGCTTTATCAAAAAGCTCTGTGAAACTTAGGTGGAAATTTCTAGCTGCAGGCTACTAGCACAAGCCTCATTCTCTCCAAAGCCATGGAAGTGGGCAGTGCACAGATACCTTCTTGATTAGTAACAACTGATAATAAGAGTTCTGAAGGAGTTTGGTTTTCACAGCAGATACAGAAACAATAAAGTAAATGTCACTTGAGTGTATTGCTTTTGTGAGGTTTACAGTCAGTTAGTGCCATGTGTCCCAAGAAGTTTACACTGTAATATAGGAAACAGAGAGAAGAGTGTTCATGTGTATTCATATGATAAAATTCACTGGTGCTGCTTGTCATTGGTTAGGATGAGGTCTATACCACTCATTCTTTGTGACAGAAGACTAGAAGTCCTTCATGATGGGCAACAGAGTTGTCTATGAGATTTTTAGCCCAATGCCTGGACAGTGTCCCTGCCAAGACATTTTGGCGCCTTATGGGAAATAAATGCTTCTATTGTGTGCCCAAAATTGAGCAGGTTTTCAGAGAACAGTAGCTGAAAAGCTTCAATATCTGCTTTTGGGAAATGTTGATGTGTAACTAAAATCTCTCCCTAGTCAGAAGAAACTATAGATTTATGATTGAAGCATCAGAACTTCAAAATGGTCAAGAACCACAGACTAGGACCTCTGAATCTCTGCTTCTCACACATCCCAAATCACAATCATAAAACTAAACATCTCTTTGCCTCACATCCTGATTGAAACATCTTAGTTCTTACTCCAGGTCCCGAC